GATCTGGTGCCTAGAAAAAATATCAAGATCCATGTAAATGATGAGATCACTGATTTGATAATGCTGATGATATTTATGAATCTCTCATAATATTAATTGAAATTAGTTTTATAACATTTATTTATTTGTACATAAATAATTAAAACTGCGTGATATGTTTAGTGCTAAGCGAAATAATAAAACACAAGTGATAATTTCAAAACTCTAAAGTTTAATAATATATTATGAAAAGTTATTTATACCGTATAATACATGTTGAATATATTATTATAGATCCAGGACTAATAATTCTGGAAGAGTTATGTACATTTGTCTATAGTATTACTATAATCTATTTATTGTATACAAATCTACCTCCTAGTTCAATACAAAGACTCGACAAAACTAAAGTTGCATCATTTGGGTACCTATACCTGTATAGGTATTATTTTCCTTCGGATTATTTTCATTCTTCAATCCTCTGATGTGTTGAGATGAAGAAATTTTGGACATGTAAATAACTTTGCTTGTTTGATTTGGGAATATTGAGAATTTCTTGTTTTGATCAGGGGCGTGAAAAATAGGTGGGGCTAGGTTCATTTCTTCCCCCGCCTTTTTTTTTCCAATGCAATTTTCGGCAGTTTGATCAGGAAATATGAAATTCCCAATACCTACCTCCTGTCCCTATCCTCCCTAGGAACGCACGATGTTCTTTGAACATTATAGGGATTCCCTTTCGTGCGCTCCAAGCGAAAAGCAAAAAAAATTAGAATTGAAAATAAACAGGGTGTTCCATTTAAAAAAAAACTAATATTTAGACTATTTTTTATCATTTTGCGATTCGCATCTGTTCGTTTAAGGAGTGCCAAAAGATAGTGGAGATGAAATCCTGAAGTTTTTTTTCTACCTCGTATAGTTGAAGCTGTAGGTAGGTGTCAAAATATACAGGGTGTGTACAGGGTGATTCGCCATAAATGTCCCCCCTTCTAGCTCAGTTATTTTTGAACCGATTGCAAAATTTTAAATATCATCTAAAATGATTTTCGATAAAGTTTTTTTCCACTACATCAGAAAATAAGAGGTGCTCGGAACAAACGATCTACAGGACAGTTTTTGATTTTTTTTAATGGAACACCCTATTTTTCGTTGTATTTTTAGTTTCTTCCTGAAGAGCTGATTTCATCAATGTATCACACTTGGGGTCTAGCGGGAATGATTACAGAGATATAGAGGGTGATCAAAATCGAGATTTTCCAACTTTAGGATTTTTTTGTGACGAAACTATTCATTATCGGTCAAAACGGCTTTCATGTCCGTATCTTAACTTTTGAATCACTATCTACTGACATTTAATAATTGGAACAGATAGAGGGTGATCAGAATTCTGAATCTTGAATCACACTCTATATGTTCTAATTGAATGTCAGTAGATAGTAAATCAAAAGTTGAGATGGGGACATGAAAGCCGTTTTGACCTCGGTTTTGACCAATGATGAATCAGTTTCGACACAAAAAAATCCTAAAGTTGGAAAATTTCGATTTTGAACACCCTATATCTTTGTAATCATTCCCGCTAGACCCCAAGTGTGATAAATATATTGATGAAATCAGCTCTTCTGGGAGAATATAAAAATACAATGAAATACAGGGTGTTCCATTTGAAAAAATCAAGTAGTACTCTGTAGATCGTTTGGTCCGAGCACCCTGTATTTTCTGATACATAGGGAAAACAATTTCTGAAAAATCATTTTAGATGATTCTTCAAATTTTTAAATCGGTTCAAAAATAAGTGAGCTAGAGGGGGGGACATTTATGGTCACCCTGTACATATTGGCCTATAGTATTGTTACAAATCCTCGTATAAATCTATTTGTGTACGAATTCTATACATTCTTAAACTGACAATAAAGAATTAAATTTAATTAATTCCAAATAGGTACCTAACCTACATGAAGCAGCAAACTAATATCACAAAAGAAACAACTCTAAAAGCATCAGTACCTAAGCTCATTTATACAGTGTCTTTCAGAAACCTGGCATTATATGAGAAAAACTTCCATGAATAATTTATTTTGAAATTCGACTTTGACGTTTAGATTTGCTTCGTAAACGATGAAAAATGGCCTACTCGATCGGGGTCATTTAACTTTCTTTGCAACATGTCAAGCTTCATTTTTCAAATTATTCGCTGAAAATAGGCTTATTTATTGTTTGAATTTCGAAAACATTTACTGAGAAAAGTTGTATCTATTCCTACCTATGTCAAAAATTTGAATTGCAACATTTAGTTTGTAATACAGTGTGTCCCACTTTTACCATGCTCACCATGGGTATCTTTTTAACGGTGAGAGATACGAGGTCGGTTAAATGACACCAAATGTGGAGTTTTTCAAGGCCAACTATAATGTGAAAAAATATTTTGATTAAATCTATTCTTTTTTGTTTTATACGCAAAAAACAGATTTTGATCATTTTCATTTCTCCTCTGTAACTTCTTTATTTATGAAAATATTCAAATAGGAATTTCACATTCTCATGGCAGTTTTACAAAGTGATTTCGAAAAAAATATGAAATATATACCAACTCTTCTAGAATTTGAGATATCAGCACCAACTTTAGTTTTTCGAATGTAGGTCATAGCTCACTATGACTTAGTTACAAATAACTTTTTTTTCTCTTACAGATGATATGTCGCAGTAATAGTTTTGTGTTGATAACAACGGAGTAATCGTCATTTATACAAAAACAAAAAAATATTTGGAAGCCGCCATCTTGAATTTATGAATTTCAACAAAAAAAACATGATCTCCGACCTCCAAAACCCCCACTTACCAATTTTGAATTAAATCGGACCAAATCTTGTCCGCCATCTTGGAGCAGCCATTTTTTTAATTTCAACAAAAAATCCATAATGTATGGTCACCGAAATTATGAACACCTGCCAAATTTCAAGTTACTCAAAGTTATGGAATTTTTGTTGAAATTAAAAAAATGGCTGCTCCAGGATGGCGGACAAGATTTGGTCCGATTTCATTCCAAATTGGTAAGTGGGGGTTTTTGAGGAAGGAGATCATGATTTTTTGATGAAATTCATAAATTCAAGATGGCGGCTTCCAAAAAAATTTTTGTTTTTGTATAAATGACGATTACTCCGTTGTTATCAACACAAAACTATTACTGCGACGTATCATCTGTGAGAGAAAAAAAAGTTATTTGTAACTAAGTCATAGAGCTATGACTTACATTATTTGAAAAACTAAAGTTGGTGCTGATATCTCAAATTCTAGAAGAGTTGGTATAAATTTCATATTTTTTTCGAAATCACTTTGAAAAACTGCCATGAGAATGTGGAATTCCTATTTGAATATTTTCATAAATAAAGAAGTTACGGAGGAGACATGAAAATGATCAAAATCTGTTTTTTGCGTATAAAACAGAAACGAATAGATTTTATCAAAATATGTTTTCACATTATAGTTGGCCTTGACAAACTCCACATTTGGTGTCATTTAACCGATCTCGTATCTCTCACCGTTAAAAAGATACCCATGGTGAGCATATGGTAAGTGGGACACACTGTATATATTTAATATCAACCAAAATTTATGTCATTGAAAGAACTGTTACTTCGATAAAACTGCTGTTACCTACCAGGAGCTCAATTCTACTTGCTTAAAATTACTAATAACCGACAAGAATATGATTTTATTTGGAAAATAATAATCCTGATTTGAAATGCCTGTAATCTTTGTTACAAAGTTGATGTCTCGTCAATCATTGAGAAGCGACATTCATTTGAATGGATTTTTTCAGTACTAATATGATACCAAAGTCATGACTTGAAATGGCATATACTACTACTACTACCTTACGTGAATATTTAACCAAATTCTGGAAACTTTTGTCGAAGTTACATTGCTCTTAACATCACAGAAATTTCGTACAAAAAAAAATCAATTCCTTCAATTTGCAGTAGAACGTTCAAATTTGTGACACTTGTGTAGAAATCAGAAAAGAAACAAGTTTCGATCAATGAATATTTTAGGAATTCGAACAAAAAAGACAATTTTCTGCAATAATTTTAAATAATTCATTTTTTTAACATGTAGCCTACGGCTTATCCTGCAAACTTCATTCCCGTGAGAAATCACTATCATGCCGCGTGCTCGTTAAACAATATACTATACAGGGTGGGTCACGGTCGATGGCACCTTAGACGTTTACGGAGAACGGGACATAAGATCATTCTGAAAATTTGGTTACTCAAGTAATTGCTCCTGATCTATCGATCTAAAATATTTTCAGCTCTGCGGCGTTGCCGCTTCTATCGAAAAGTAGCAACAACTTTGTTATTTTAAATGGAACACCCTGTATTTTATCGCATTTTCAGATTCTCTCTGAAGAGCTGATTTCATCGATGTATCCTACTTGGGGTCTAGCGGAAATGATTACAGAGATATAAGGTGTGACAAATCGACATTTTTCAACTTTAGGAATTTTTTTTGTCGAAACTATTCATTATTGGTCAAAACGGCTCACATGTCCCTATCCCAACTTTTGATCAACTATCTACTGACATTTAATTGAAACAAATACAGGGTGGTGCAGAATTCAGATTCTTGATCACCCGGTATATGTCCCAATTAAATATCAGTAGATAGTTAATCAAAAGTTGAGATAGGGACATGTGAGCCGTTTTGACCAATAATGAATAGTTTCGACAAAAAAAATTCCTAAAGTTGATAAATGTCGATTTTTCACACCTTATATCTCTGTAATCATTTCCGCTAGACCCCAAGTGTGATACATCGATGAAATTAGCTCTTCAGAGAGAATCTGAAAATGCGATAAAATACAGGGTGTTCCATTTAAAATAACAAAGTTGTTGCTACTTTTCGATAGAAGCGGCAACGCCGCAGAGCTGAAAATATTTTAGATCGATAGATCAAGAGCAATTACTTGAATAACCGAATTTTCAGAATGATCTTATGTCCCGTTCTCCGTAAACGTCTAAGGTGCCATCGACCGTGACCCACCCTGTATATAGTGTATATTCTCTTATTTTACCCTAAAATAAATAAACCTACGTATTCGATGAGTTTTCTTCAGAATGACGGTCGAGAAGGCAACCGTCCTATAGACCTAGAAGTAGTGAGGGTGGGTGCGTTAATTTTCGTCATTATGTTGCCGATCGGCGAATGGTTGTCATCGGTCTGGCTGCTGAGGAGGATGTCGATGTCTCTGTTCTTTTTGAACTCTTCGAACTTCTTGTTGATCAGAAGGCTCAGCTCAGATTTCGAGGTTGACGATTCGGGAACGGCGTCTTCCGTGACGTTTTCTTCGTCCACCTCCTGATGAATTACGGAAAATAGTTATTTGTTTAACTAGGCAGCAAAGTAGTAGATTGACTGCCGTGGCTGAATTCATAGCCGAGCGTAGCGAGGCTAGGAATCCAGCTAAGGCAGTCAATCTACTTTGCTGTCGAGTTGAACATATAATTTTTTCTTCGATTGTTCATAATGATATGGCAGAATATTGTATTTGCGAATTAATACAATTCCCACAATCTCTTTATTCTTCCTGTATAGTGTTCAATTAAAATAAAATTTGATAGAAATCGCAGTTGTTGGTTTGACAATTCATGAAATTACTGACAGTTGTGCGAAAAAATATCGATATATTTAAATTATATATATAATGGACAGTGATAGCGACCTGGAAGTATACTTACACTTACATTAATAAGGGAGGTGGCAAAAAATATAGAGTTGAATTTGTTGCCGGAGAAGTCCCGGATGAAATATGAAGGAAATTATAAACGATTTATGGATTTTTAATTTTGCTGATACATATCAATCAGCAAAGTACCCACTTTGCTGCCTAGGCAGGAAAAGTAATACTTTGCTGATTGATATGTGTCAGCAAAATTAATATTTGCTGCCAATCGGAGGAAAAAATAGTTATTGATGTGCCGAGGATGAAAAACTGTCTATTATAGTGGAGTTTGCGAATTGATAGCCGAGGCCTAGCCGAGGCTATCAAGTAGGCGAGATAATAAACAGGCTTCTTATTCAGGACCGTAACTATAGGGTAAGGCAAAGGAGGCAACCATTGGCGCCACGAGAGGCACAAAATATCGATCATTAAATTCGAAAGAAAATACAGATCGTTATTCAGTCGCAGCGGTAATATTTCAACAAAATCCATATATTCAAAAACTTATTGAATATTGTATAAAAAACAAGAAAAAAATGATGACGCTACTGCTAAATTTAGTATACAGGGTAACATTGAAATTAATACAAATATTTCAAATCCTAAGAAAGTTCGACATATACTATCGAATGGCACCAATAAAAAAATGAAGAGATCGGAGTAAAATTTCGGGTGAGACTCCTTTTTCCACCCACATTTATACACTGTAGTAATTCTGACGTCACCTCTGTATAAATTTCCGTGCGGAAGGTACGATCACTTGGAGTTCAATCATTAAAGTTACAGACAGCATTTAAATTACCTTGAAGTCCCGTATTCCATTTTGTCTTCTGATTTTTATTCGATTTTCAAGATGAAATTTCTGGTTGATTAGAAGAATAAAAAAAATCATCATGGGAATATTTATTATTCTAGATTTCTTTGGGATTTTCTCTACTCGTTTCTATCAAATAAAATAAAATATACGTGTAGTGAGGACAAATCAAATGATTTGCCCCAAAATGTCACTGCGTTTAAAGAAATTTGCTTTCAGATAGCCTAAAAGCAAAATTCACTAGTTTCTCAGTGGCAATTTGTATTGAAAATGGTTTATACGTTTCGGGAACGAATCTGCTCCCGTTTTCAACATAAAAAATTGATTTTTTGTATGGCAAACTCGTATTTGACTTGACACACATACTTGCCATGAATTTCCATCAAGTATAGGCAAGTCAATTCAAAAAAAGAAAAGTACTTGCCTTCAAAAGTAGTCGATTTTTCATTCGTAAATTAGATGATTCGTAAAATGTAATTTTTTGTAGAGGTCGATGAAGAAATATTTTCTCGTCAGATTTCGTTATGTGACATAGCTTCGAAATAAACGTTTATACAAATGAAGAGAAAATAAAAGAGAAGAAACGAATTTTACGCCCTATTCTTGCTCTATGGTAATTTGGTCGATAAAAACCGAATCAACTTTTATAAATTCATGGTCATCACACGAGACAATTAAACTTATATCATCTTGATTCTGCTACTTCTATAATTGGCAAAACAAAATTTACTCACGCTGCTCTAGCTGAATTCAATAAATTACCAAATAATATAAAAAATTGCAGACACATTTCAAAATTTAGAATTGAATTAAAAAACACATGATTTTATTACGAAATGGATAAAATTGATACTTTGCCATCTACTGATGGCTGTGGCTCTTTTTATGACTTGATCGATTTAGTATTTTGAGATTTTTTTTTAGTATTTTTTGTTGTCGTTGTTGTCACCTTATATTATTTTATTATTGTTGTTTGTAATAATCTTCCTCATACCAGAATCCTATTTCTGACTGGAAGCTAGTTACTCAATAAACAATAAACAATAAATCGAAAACATTCATATACCTGAATTTCCGAAAAAGTCACCGGTTGTGTACGATACCTTGCAGAACCACCTCTCCTTTTTTTTGGAACCACCCTACGGTTCAGTCTGGACATGGGTTCTGGATATACAGTATCCATTGCTGTAACGAAATGAAATATTAAATATACAGAGTGAACGAATTTCAATATTTGCTTAGGTTAGGATAACTCGGTTACTATAGAAGGAAAAATAGACATTCTCCCGATCGGAAACACAAATTTGCAGTCGCCTTTTTTTTAAGTCAAAAACAAAAGTTCGCTTTTTCGACTTTTAGACATATGTAAATATCGTGATTGTTTGAAAAGTTGCGTGAGAATAACTTTATTCGCATTATTGAATTTGAAAAGGAGGAGAATTTTGAGTTATTGGTGCTGAAAGTTAGACTTTTTCATATGGAGAGTATAGTTGGCTAGATTTTATTCTTCTCTTCCTATCTATGTAGTATGTGTATCCGGTCGCTTTAGATGTGTAAATCTTCAATAGCAAGAATCATATTCTACTAGATTACCTACTCTCGGCATTTTTTATATTTTTTCGAAGTAGGCAGGCAGTCTTTATCCGTCTGTCAGTGAATCTGAATAGAACATCTTTGATATATTTCTTGTAATTTCCGTAAAACATATTTAGATACGATAACGGAAAAAAATCGTTAGTTTACAGATATGTGGTTGAACATTCTGTCATAGATAGTTTCCACCTGGTCTGTACTTGAAACATCTTGAAATATACATAAAAATCACAAAAAGTCAAATACCTTATTACACGACCTGACATACAGTGTGTCCCAGCTAAAACTTGTCACCCTCCTAATCTCCGATGTCGTTAAAAAAATTGAAAATCACTCAATAATTGCAGAAAAATGTGTCCCCCGCCAAATTGAAATCGACCTGCCCGAGCGATTTTCAATTTTTTTAACGACATCTCAGATTTGACAAGTTTTGGCTGGGACACACTGTACATTGATTATGATACATGACTAGAAAGAGAAAAATCATACACAATTTCCATTTGAATTTTGAATTTCAGGCCATAACTCGAAATGGTATATTCATTCCAAATGTTCCCAGTATGCCACTAAATTATACAGAATCAAGTGATGAAATTTCAAAAATTATTTTCTCCCGACTTTGCAAACAACCAGATTGGCATTATTTGTTTCAACATCGAATAGGTGTGTGCAATCTAAACAAAAATCCATGAACTCTTCCCAAAACGAATGATGACTCAGTTCAAAGTCCGACAGACTGTAAGTAACCTCATTTTCCGAGTACGACTCGGACATTGATATTTCCAGGAATTGCCAGATTTCCCACACGTCAACGTATCCAAAATATTTACTCAATAAAAACGAAATCGCCTGATGAAAAATACAACAGCCAATAATTTATTATTCTCGAATAAACTTGGACATAGAGAGAAAATAGGTTCGTCTTTTCGCTGATTATACATACAAAATGCATCTCACTGTGATAGGAGTTTCTGCCAAATGTGATTTGATTTTCATACAATTTTCTATGCGATATGCGTTTTCATAATTAATTAGGAAAAGTTCTTAAAATAACTCGATATAGCTGACTCGACATGGAAAACAAAAATTACACGCAAAACAATTTTTACTCACATTGTGTCGGAGATGACAAAGAAGGCATATTTTTCTTTGGTTTTCTACAAATTTTTCCGCACACACAACACTACGCACTGATATCTTGGTGAACTTTCTTGTTTGCGAGAATTTCAGTCGGAATGAAACTATAACGAGGATTCAAAAGAAATTCGTCTAATTTTAAACACTCTGGAACGGAGTTTTTGTGAGGACTGCGTTGCGCTCTCGTCGTTTTCAGCGTTTCAGTTTTCAGCATTTCACTTTTCAGCGATATGCGCTTTTCTCGCGGCGTGTAATGTTGCCAAATGCCCGCGTTCATTCTATGGACTTCGGGACGGTGATTCCTAAAGTCACCGAAAAAATCAAAATACGATGTCTATGTTCATAAAATATACTTGATTTGATATACAGTGTGTCTCACTTATAATGGAAACACTCCTGTATCTTACGTAATCGTTGGGTTAGGATCCTGAAATTTTCTGAAGCGAGAGATATACCAAGAATGTACTCTATGACCAAGTATTATCTTCAGTGATATACACTGTTCGCCAACAGCCATGGAACTACACCAATTTCCGGAAAATTATATAAGGAAGCAAATTAGGTTGCAAATCACTTCGGATTCGGAATCAGAGCGCGTAATTCACTAACTATTCATACTTTTCCTGAAACAAATCAGTTCTGAAAATCCAAATTTTGTACTCAATTTTCATGGAAACACCTCCGTTTCTTATGTAGTTATCGAATTAGGATTGTTAATTTTCCAGGAGCAAGAAGTATTCCAAGGATAAACACAATTACCAATGGAAATTACCATCAGTGATATACACTGCTCGCTAGTAGCCGTGGAGCCACTTACATGTCCGGAAAATCATTTTACCAGACAAGATAGGTTGGAAAACACTGCGGATTCGAGAACAGAAAACAGAACGTCTAATTCATTTTGTTCCTTCCTTCTGAACAATTTTCAGTTCTGAAATATAAATTCTGTCTCACTTTTCATGGAAGCACCGGAGTATCTTATATCTTTTACGTGATTATTGATGTAGGGGTCTGAATTTTCCAGTTCAATAAATTTCTCTCCTGAAATATCGGTGGTTCTGTGGCTGCTGGCGAGCAGTGTATTATTGAAGATGACCTCACTTGGTCATAGATCACATGTTTGGTATATCTCTCGCTCCAGCGAATTTCAGGAGCCTAACCCAACGATTACGTGAGATACGGGGGTTTTTTTTTATCGCTTGGAGCGCACGAAAGGGAATCCCTATAATGTTCAAAGAAGATTGTGCGTTCCTAGAGGATAGGGACAGGAGGTAGGTATTGGAATTTTTTTTGAACTTTTGGAGATTATATGTTGGGAATACTTTTACTGACAATTTTCCAGAAAAAATATGAATAGTTAGTGAAGTGGGCGTCCTGATTCCGAATCCGAAGTGATTCTCAACTTATTCTGACTCCTAATATCATTTTTCTGAAATCGGGGTGGTTCCATGGCTGTTGGCGAGCAGTGTATATCACTGAAGATGACCCCACTTGGTCATAGAATGCATTTTTGATACATCTTTCGGTCCAGCAAATTTCAGGATCCTTACCCAACGATTACGTAAGATACAGAGGGGTGGTTCCATTAGAAGTGGGTCACACTGTACATATATTGAGTATCTAAGTAGGCACTCATCGTGATGTTGTCGAGAATTATAAATACAGGGTGTCCCTTGACTCTATGGTCTTTCCTCGAACAATTTCAAGTCGAAAGTGCCTCATACAATTTTCGCTAAAACTCAATAGTTAAGGAGTTATGACCAATTAAATAACAACTTTGCCTACTAGTGGATTCAAAGAGGTGGTCCAGTTCTTTGGGCTCTTTGGCCACCCAGGTCTCCTGATCTAACACCTCTCGACTATTATCTCAGGGGACACATAGAAAGTCTAATAAACTACAAACCTCCTCACCCAACGATTGCGTAAGATACAGGGGTGCTTCCATTATGAGAGAGACACACACACTGTACATATAATGCAATAGATTTTATCCGACTTGTATAATGTATAGTTGGCGAATAAATACTTCGCTTTCAAAAATGAACCAGTGCACTTGAACACATGAACAAAAAATCAAAATGTAAAAAAGGATCGAATGGTTTAAAAAATGATATTTTGAAATAATTTGGCTTCCAAATTATTCGATAGGGTCTTTTAAAATTGAACCAAAAATAAAAAAGGTTTTCTACTTGAAATTTGAACGAATATTAACTTGTTTTTATGCATCTGAGTGTACAATTATTATCAAAACAGTTATAGCTCGTCTTGGTACAGGAACTATCAATAGTACTCTCATGCCAAATAACAATCTGAATTTTGTCTAATATAAACTGGTCAACATTCGGAACATCAATATGTTCGTTCTCCAGATACTTCTAATAGGCCATCCACCGTGACCCACCCTGTATATACTGCCCCAGTTTGCTGCTTCAATGTTTCTCAGGATATTGTTTCAAAACTATGATCGCCTGTCTCGATAGTTTTGATAAAAAATGTCATTTACGAAATTACTGGGCAACAAGCTGTCCTATATAGCTATCAATCGTGAGAAAAATAGTATCACATATAATGTCGTAAATGATAGGACTGATTTAGTAATTCATATAAAAAAATGTCTATCGCATTTTATTACGGAGTTATTGAAAGTTGGAATAAAAATATTTTTTCTGTGACGGGAAAGAAGTTTGGTATTACATCTATGTTGGCAGGTTATAAAATGTCACTTTTCATAAATTACTTTGTTCCCGTGGGGAAAGAGTTAGTAGATTTAAGTTAGAAAGAACTGCAAGTCCTTTTATCTTCCATTCGACTTCGCGGTTACGTATATTTACTAAACAACCACTGAATTCGCAATTTTTCGAAATCAAATCACAGAATTAGACTGACAGACGTGACATATATTTGATTACTTAAAAAGAATAATGAAGATGTGTACAACGCATGTGTCCCGACTGTTAAAAACTTAAAATTTCACGTCGATAATTTTCAGATTTCAAAATAATGTGATATTTTCTCAATATTGATTCGTCCTATCTTCTGTCACAGAAAAAAATAGTGTATTTTACACGGGAAAAATATTAGATTTTAGCTCACGGTTTTTTGTCCCCATCCGCTACACGTCAACACAACCTGGAGCTAAAATCTACTACTTTTTTCCCTTGTATAATAAATAACTATTATTTCATGTGTAACTCTTAAACGGTTTGCCATGGTATGTCAATGATATGTGGGCAACTAGATCAACTCATACTAATATTCCTTCCGATATGTAAACGGCTGTTCAGTGATTATGTTTTATACAAGATGAGACGATTTTCTTCCGTTTAATGGAGGTATTTTCAACAGAGGTGACAATTTTGACATTTCGCTTCCACCGTTTGGGTCCTCCATCTTTTCCCCACAAAAATAGTATACCTACTTTATCTTAGTCGATATCTTGTACTGTTCTAGAGGAAATCTCATTTCAAAACCATACATCCCAACCGCTTGGAAGGTATAATAAAGCTTTCTCCTAGTTGAATAAAAACTCTATTTATCCAAAAACATTATGGTAATTGTCAAAATTGGAGTAATTTTTTTGTACCTTTTGTATTGACCAGCAGAAACTTTCAAGGTCAATAACTCCGTAACGAAGTGCGAGACATTTTTTTTATATGAAGTACTAACAGTATTTTGGCTCACTGTATCAGACCTATATCATTTACGACATGACTGAATATGAAAAATGATCCAGTGATTACGAATTGTTTTTCCCAGTTAAAATCGTCATTTTTTTGCACAATTTCAGGTAATAAGTGGGGCTTGGTGATTCATATCAAGAGGATATATTTATGATTGTTGGAGCAGTACACTTCTGGAAAATGTGCAGATCACACTCATATCGGTATGTGATTTTTTTTTTGCAAATTGAAATCAATTCATGAAAATGAAAAATGGGACTGCCTGGGTTTGACTTTTGTGTGTGTAATTTCGGTTGACTGGGCTAATTGAAAAAAGGAAACTGTTTGTTACAAATATTCATTTAATGTCGATAATAAATTAATAATATTAATATATCAAATGTATTATATTTTACCAAAAATTATCACTCATTAAATTTTGTTAGTAAAAAATACGGAGAAATATTAACGAGTCGTGCCCTACAAATATTTCTGGTACTTTTTAATTTTTTAAATATTTCTTTTCAAATCTCGTAATGGTAACTATTGTCATACATGAAAATGGTTGTTATGATACAGGACTAGTAGCTCAAAATATCATAAAAATAAAAATGTTTGAAAGAATCGCACGATAAATAATGATTAAAAATGGACATGGTTCTACAAATTTAAAAAATCGCCTATATTAAAAAAAATTGAACATTCGGTACTTGTTCCTAACGTTTCACTTCAATGATAATCAAATGCAATACCTATCTGATAGATATATATATTGTATTATCGATTGTGACCCCCATTTCTTTCGCATTTCTGATTCAACACATCTAAAATGATTTTTTATAAAAATGAAAATATTTCAACAAAACCTTTCTATTTACAAGCATTCATAAATATCTATATTTCCCATCTATATACAGAATTCATTACACTTTCTGGCACAATGAAAGCTATCAAATCACAATCAGAAGAAATAGAAACAGATACAGGATGAATCAAATAAGGGCGGGCCGAAAAAACACAGTGAAAACTTCATCATCATCAATGACTATGTCTAAAAAATTCTGCATCTCTCCAGACCCGAAATAAAATGTTTGTTTCTTTCCTTTCCTATACCAGGGAGGTATACAGGGTGAAGACTTTAAGTGGAATTAATTCGCTACTGGGGGAGTGAATGATTCTTCTGAAAATTCGCAAGACACGTCAACTTCTAAATGTATTTACCTACATTTGGGGTAGCAGGAATCTCTCCCAACATGTTTTTTTCAGATGTAAACCTATGGCTTGCGACCCCTCATTGGAAAGCTGGTTGCAAGATGAATCCAGCGTACTGATCATCAGTACTTTTAGTGTTGAAACAATTTCGAAGTTTAATATACCGGGTGACACAGGAGACATGTAACAGCCTGTTGTATTTTTATTTGCAGAGATAAAACTTTGAAATTCTCAAGGGTTATATTATCAATGATGGAGCTTTCCTTGAACCCAATGACAATTTTCTTCAACCACCTGTTTGATTGGAAGTGGCCCCAACTTTCTTTTTTCAAATGGCACCCTGTATATTTCTATAGCCTATCTTATTCACCTTGAAATTTTCTATTCAACTATGTATCGAAATTTTATATTCGTTCATTGATTAGCTGTTAAATTGCATTTTATCGAAATATATCAAGTTGGCTGTGGCCCGAATACACATTTCGATGCTTGATAGGCTTAGAGATCCAAAGATCATTACTTAGATGATATTATCAGAATATTTTCCATACCCTAATCGGTCCTAGAAGATTGCTAATGATTTCATTGAGTTAAAAAAAATCATCCGAAAATAACACACGATATTGAGAAACCTATGATAGAAACTCAGTTTTTTTCATTCGGCTACTTGTGAAGAAACTATTTGTCCTTCATTTTTGTCATGTAGCCATGATATGATCATCCATTTGGATACATGAAACTGAAATTGTTGTAATAATTGATGTATCCTCCTAATACATCTGTTCATAAGTCTACATTAGTGTATTTTCAGTATCATTTCGCTTATCAAACTGTGATACTTGCATGACTTGGAATTTCAATGTTACTAGCAGGAACGCAAGTATACTAACTTCACGAATGCTAAGATCGAAATGACGCCGTGGACTCGTGGACACTGGACAGTGATCGCGTGGACAGTGGGCGTGGGTACTCGAATAATATCGGAGATATCCGAACGGAAAAGAGATCTATAACTACAGGTGAGCTGTCACCTGCAACAATCGACTTGATAGATTGTCTTTATTGATGAGTTCGCTCAGAGCAAGTGATCTTATGTCAGAAAAATAATTTAATAATAGTGAGTATTCGTTAACCTAGCACTAGTTTAGTGTTCACTTAGAATTAGCGAACTCTAAGTACATATCGACTTGGTTGATACCAACAAGTGTTCTGATCACTTACAGCAGAAACTTCGTTCCAGAAATATAGTTTTGCCTACTGCAAGTACCATATTTTCCTACCGTTGGTGAAAATGTTGTTGTCACAATCGACTTTTTTTCAAGAAAACAATTTACTTAGCCGAGTTTTCTCAGTGTGATACATAGTTATTGAATAGAGAATTTTGAGGCGAATAAGGCTACAGAAATATACAGGATGCCATTTCGAAAAAAAAAGTTGGGTCTACTTCCGATCAAGCAGGTGGTTGAAGAAAATTGTCATTGGGTTCAAGGGAAGCGCCATCATCGATAATATAACCCTTGGGAACTTCAAATTCTTATCTCTTTAAATGACAAAACTACAGGCTGTTACATGTCCTCTGTGTCACCCGGTATTTTCAACATATTTTCATCAAAATTTCGACTTTTAGTGACAATGATATAGGGCATTTACATTTTTGCGGCTCTATAAAAACACTGGAATACAATAGCAGATAGCAATTGTAGCAAAACATTGCCATCAATTGTTCAACACACATTTTGAGCGATTGATACGTTAAAAAAAAAAATGTTTTTCAAAATTTCATTTCGAGTTTATGCAATCTTTAAACCTATGAAAAACTAAAATTTGACTAGTATGCTTAATCCTCCTTCCACCAGCTTTCCAATGAAAGGTAACAAGCTATAGGGTTACCTTGTGTGTAAGTGATATATTCTTGATAATGTTTGCAAAAAGTGGGTTCATACATTTAATCGTTGATTAGAAAAAATATTCACTTTCCCGCTAACGAATTTATTCCAGTTAGAGTCTCCACACTGTATATTGTGGCTATTAGCTGCAAGAGCGAAGCGAGGGCCGTTACTTGATGGAAATTCATAGTAAAAGTAAAAAACTTCACAAACGTGAAGATTTTCACAAGATTCTTAATCAAACGACATGTATAGCTTTTTCAAGTGAAATACTCGTATACCATGAACATGTCCTGTGGTTAAGAGTTTTGTGGAAATAGTTTAATGGTTAAATATTTGATGGTTCATTTGCTCATTTCAGGATATTATTTGATTTTTGAAATATTGGTCAGAGGAGCAACACTGTCGCAGTATCGCGTAATATAACAATAAATACCATAGACGCGTTCAGAATCCAGCAATGTATGACCGTGTTGAAATGTAAATAATTCGGTCTTCTTGGGATATAATTCTATAATATTCTCAAAAATACAAAATCGTTTGTAACATTCAGAATGAATTAGGAAAATAAATCAACAGGAGCCCACCAACTCGATTCACCCTGCATCATCATCAACACCAACCAATCAATCCGTCTCTCACTTCTAACTAACACCGACGACCTTCTTTTAGCTCCCCACCCCCTGTCGACGTGGGTCCTCCTCTTGGAATCCAACCCCTAAACCCCCCCCATCAACACTACCACCCCCACCATGATCCGACGTCGACTTCAATATATCCGGCTGCGAATGGTGGTACGACTGCTTCACCGACACCATTGTATCCCTTAACTGGTATCATGTTTTTCCGAAAAGTATCGTGGGATATTTCAACACCCCATTCTATATTAGGTGGATGAATACGATGAAAAACTCATGAATTTTTCAAAATGTCGCAATTTTGTGAGAATATGTTATCATGAAAACTATGAACCACGAGAAAATTCGACCCATATTTGTATCAAACGAAAATTAATTATTAATTTTATACCTGAAATGGTTCATCTCTTTCACACACAGGTCACTAACCTATGTGGAGGATATACAATATGAAATATTTATACATGTAATTGATATCCACTTGTTATTGATATCCCATGGCGAAATGTAGATTTTACTTGATTCAATAAATGAATAAATAAATAAATGAATTACAGTGGAGCAATATTAAATTCCATCTTCTTTGGAGGCTGTAAGAATCACTTGAAATGACGTGTGTATAGTAGTCGCTATTGCAGGCTTGTTCTTCAGAAGTCACTATTGACGCATGTGATGAGAAAAAAAAATGATTCGCTTCATAGTAAAAAAAACTGACAGGGGTATAATTTGCAAACCCCAATCACTTTTCATTTTCGAAACTGATTTTTGCAAATCATAAATTCACTACGATTTCTTAGATATCACAAACTTAGGAGAATATCAAGAGTACGTTATCATCGCAAATGTATTATCACTAGTGGGATACCGAAACATCCCACGATACCAGTTGAGGGTTTATCAGCAAATTTATGTGGTGGGCGATAAAGTGAGTCAGCTCCAGGATCTTCGGCTTGCTGAGCAAGAAGATGAGTTTCTGAGAGGAGGACTGCTGCTGTCAGTATTGGGTGACGATTTCATCAACATCAACTGACCAATCCTTCCCTTACATCTCAATCAACGACTTTCTTTCAGCCTCTCGCCCTCTATCACGCCAACCCCGAATCGACGTGGCTCTTGGAATCCGACAGATGCACCCCTTCACCAACCCCTGTGATCCGGCCTCGACTTTAAAATGGTGGTTCGACTGGTTAACCTACACCATGGTATCCCTGCTCAATGTACCAAGCAACGGCATGCCGGGATTATTAATCAGCAAATTCATGTAGTCGGCGATAAGGTGAGTAAGCTCCAAGATCTTCGAATTGTTGAGCAAAAAGATCAGATTCTGAAACAACCCCCCTGTGATCCGGCGTCGACTTCAAAATGTCCGGCTGCGAATGGTGGTTCGACTGGTTCACCCACACCATGGTACCCCTGCCCAACATTCCAACGGCGTACCCCGATTATGATCAACAAATTCATGTAGTCGGCGATAAGGAGAGTAAGCTCCAAGATCTTCGGCTTGCTGAGCAAGAAGATGAGTTTCTGAGAGAAGGGCAGCTGCTGTTGGTATGTTGAGTGTCGACTTCATCAACATCAACTGACCAATCCTTCTCTTAATCAACGACTTTCTTTCAGCCCCTCGCCCTCTATCACGCCAACCCCGAATCGACGTGGGTCCTTCTCTTGGAATCCGACCGATGCACCCCTCCAACAACCCCCCCGTGATCAGGCGTCGACTTCAAAATGTCCGGCTGCGAATGGTGGTTCGACTGGTTCACCGACACCATGGTACCCCTGCTCAACGTACCAAGCAACGGCGTGCCCGGATTGTTGATCAGCAAATTCATGTAGTCGGCGATGAGGAGAGTGAGCTCCAAGATCTTCGGTTTGCTGAGCGAGAAGATCAGCTTCTGGGAGGAGGGCGGCTGTTGTTGGTGCTGGGTGACGACGACGAGCATGAAGTCTTCTTGGCAGCCGCCGAAGGTGAGGACGTCCGTGTAGGGGTGGCGCGAGCGCGGTTGCATGGTGGCTAGGTCGAGGACGGTGATGGCGTCCTCGTTGACGGCCAGCCAGATCATCGGGGAGTCTTGCTGCCGCAGCTTGGCCTGAAAAAGGAAGAGGAGGTAGTAATATTGAGTAATTTTCAACAACGGACGAAGACGAGTGATGACAAAGGTGAACGCACAAATTGAACGATGACAAAGACGCATGATGACAAAAAATACAAAGACAATACAGATACAACAATACATACAAAACAGATGACATAACCAACGAATATACATGATGACAAAGACACTACTCACATACATACAAAAAATAAGACACAAATGAATTAACAGACACAAAAAACACACGATAACAAGAACATATCAACACAAAGAAATGTTGATAGACACACGATAAGCATTTACATTTACTCACACATGAAACTAATACTTGACTCATCCTTGACTTCTACTTGACTTAAACTCAACTTATCCTTGACTTGACTTAAACTTGGCGTATCCTTGACTTAAACTTGACGACACAGCCACACTCGAAAGACAATTGGGTCAACGAAACAGACAAGCCTGGACGTGTATTCAAAAGCTGGTAGTACTTCCAGGGCACTCATTAGTATCGATGAATCATTCCTGAATTGGTCACGTGAACAGTACAAGTCCAGGTTTATCGATTTCATTGGCCTCAGGTACGTACGACACACACACACAAAAGACAAATACATACAAACGTGGATATACATATTGACAGACACACAATTAACAAAGACATAAGTATGATGACAAACAACAACAATGACAGTTATTACAAACACATACCTATCGGACTGCTCGGACTGACTAAGTGACATTACACATACGGATGATGGTCAATCCTGAGGGACTATGCATCGTTCAAATTGTCCTTCACGTCGCATTAGACGACCTGAACAATGGCTCAGACTCGTCAGGACAGATCATCAGGACTTATAGTTATAATATTCCTGAAGATCAGTCCTAACGGAACTGGTCGGGCCCATTGTTTTAGGTCGTCTGATGAGAGGAGGTTACTCGCAAAACGGGCAATTTGAACGATGGCCAAAGTCGGGCAAGGACTGATCATCAGTTGTATGTGTGATTTGTCATTTAATGCCAGTTACCGAACGGTCCGGAAGACAGACAGGACGGAACACGATAGAACATGACAAAACACGAGACAGGACAGAACACACGAGACAGGACAGGACATGACAAACGAGACAGGACAGGACATGACAAAACACCAGATAGGACAGGACAGGTAGGATACGACACCAGGACAGGACAAATAAACAGGACACAGGTCGAAACAAAGCTGGAAAGGAATTGTTAATGAATGGTTTAATAAATGGAATGTATAAATTATATAGTTTATTTATTTTCTGTCCTTCGTCTCTCCTATTTTGTCTCTCCCTCTTCTCCCTCCATCCCTCCCATCTCTCCCCCTCTCCCTCCAATCTCTCCCCTCTCATCTCCCCTCTCCCTTCCTTTGTCTGTCTGTGTCGGTCCTCCCCCCTCTCCCTCCCACCCTATGTTTGTCCTTTGCCTGTCTGTGTCGGTCCTCCCCCCCTCTCCCTCCCACCCTATGTTTGTCCTTTGTCTGCCTGTGTCGGTCCTCCCCCCTCTCCCTCCCACCCTATGTTTGTCCTTTGTCTGTCTGTGTCGGTCTTCGAATATCGTCAGTCCTTGTGAATTGCAGGGTGTTCGGAAAGTCTTCAAGTATAGCTCAATATCTCCAGAACCTTCCAATACAAACTGAAGTTCGGAAATCAAGAGATTCCCGAAATTCAAATTGTTTGTCTCAGGTCCTAGGTTACTGTCCTAGACTAAGACTTTCTACCCACCCTGCATGGACATTTCTATCTATGTCCGTCGATTTTGATCGTCAACATCTGTCCTTGTCGATTACAGGGTATCCGGAAAATCTCTAGTATGGGCCAACATCTATAGAACAACTCAACACAAACAAACTGAATTTCGGAAATCTTTGAGATCACCAAAGATCAAATTTGTTCGTCTCAGGTCCAAAATAACTGACCCATACTAAGACTTTCTGCACACCCTGCAATGTCTGTTAGTCATCAATGTTTAGTAATATTCTTTTTACCAACTGACTGAGATTAACCGAGAATCTGAGTGCAGCTCAATAGCTCAGTTGTATTACATGTTTCATTTATCTTAGTCTGATGTGAGCTGTCTCAAGAACTTATTGAGACTATTTCTTCCCCTCACCCCAACTGAACTTGCTTTTCATCTGGTGTTGTTGTGAGAAAAAGATGAGACTGGATTAATTCTGGTGATTCTGTGGTTCTGTGCTGAAAATTGTGAGGTTATATTTTCATTTTGACATGCTTTCAGCTTCGAAGTTTCAGTCCACAGGTTAAATCCTTTGAATACTCACTACAATAATATTTCTTTGCTCCGCATTAATTTCCCCAGCGATTTTACATTTTGGTTAAATTATGTTGGGTTAGGTTTTCTTCCCTTGCCCTTCCTGACAAATAAAAACGCGTTCTTTTTATTCAATCGCCAACTCAGATCCGTCTCACCTTCTTCTAACTCAATTGATCTCAGTAGTGGAATTTAACAAGGTAAAAAGAATATTGCTTTTGTCTTTGTCTCTCACCAGTCTGCTGTCAGTTATCCTCTCACCTGGAACAAGGAGGCTCCGAAGTAGGGCCACTTCCTCGTCGAATTCAAGTACGCCCTGACGCAGTCGGTCTGCGTCTTGCCCTTCAGCGCCCGCCATTTCGCCATCAGCTTGGCCTGCAATTCGGCCAGGCCTTCGGGGGTGAGCTGGTCGCGGTAGCGGTACGGGTAGAACTTGTCGATGGCGTTGAGGGCCTGGTTGGAGTGGGCGGTGAGGATGCCGTGCACGTTGTTCAAGGCGCTCAGCGTGTTGGAGCTCTGCAATTTCGGTGTATGGTTGTGATGATGGCTCAATTTCAAAATGTTTGCAGAATTTTAATTGGAAATGTTCATGTTGATATTGAATAAACTAAGAAAGAAACACATAATTGTAAGCATTAATTTTCTTCTCCGTCGACCTCGTATTAACGACTAAGTCTAATGTACATGAAATCGTTCATTAATGACCCCTATTAATGAACGATTTGTCTATGAATGCACGATTGTTTTATAGGCAACCAAACATACACCGCGTGATGCATTCATTGTTTATGCTATAACTTACGGAATCTGCATTCAAATCGAAAATATTGATTTCATCGAAGATTTCCCGTTAACGGGTTCGCCTTTCCAAGTTTCTGACACGATTTCAATCCCTGTTTTCTAACACAAGGAATTTATTTTCTATGTTGATCATTTCGACAAATGTCAAATGTCACTGATGTCAGTAACAAGGCTACTGGGTGATTCTTAGCAATTTTCGGATGAAGGATGAATTCGCGAACCAAGTTTTCATCATTACAGGAGAAATGAGAAATTTAGTCGACGGAAAAATTTTGTAACCAACTTGTATATTAAAAGGCGATTAATGATCTCGAACATTAACGCGCTCGCTTCGCTCGCACGTTTAAATATCTCGATCATTAATCGCCCTCGTTAATACACTAGTTGGTTAAATAACTATATCTACATTCTTCAGGGCTGGTTTCCCAATTGCCGCAATGAGTAGCACCGAGGAATTTGAGTGATTGAAACTCCGTAATAATGAGAAAGGCTGTCGATACCACAGCACAGAATCTACTAGGAGTTACTCAAAGCTACTTGCTTTAGCGAGTGGAACCACGAATTCGTTTCAACTAGAGTCACTGGATGGTATAAGTCAAAATTAACTACTTTTTCCCTATGAAATGTTTATCGAAAAATGATTTGTTCTCGGTATTTCAACGCCCTGTATCTCCGAAAAGGACAAAAGTTCAGCTGTGTCCGAACTCTTCTCGAACTAATACCATCCAGTGACTCTAGTTTCAATCATACAATCGTATAGGCGATTCCTGAACATCAATAAGAGCAATTGTCGGTTAATTCTAATTTTTCAACATTATAGAAAACAATATATTTGTGTCATGTTTAGTCAGTGGTTATAGGATCTAGAGCATCTATGGAAAATATCCTTTCTGCATGAGAAAAAATGCTACGTTTTCTGAACAATCTAACCTAATTCGGCCTAAATCTTATACCTAGAAAGTATATTTTTCGGAAAATTACTCGAAAATAAAATTTGAAATGAAAAAACTTCTTGCGAGGATTGATCCCGAGTCGCGGTCACAAGCTTGGATAACTGTATCATCGCTGCTAAGCAAGTAGTAAAAGTGAAAAAAAAAATGGATTGTTCTGATTGGTTTTGGGAATCGTCTATTCGTTTGGGCAAAACGAACTCAGGTATTGGAAAGCGGCTGTTTGATTGTTATGTGTACAGTCAAATGCAGAGAACCTGTCGGGTTGATGTACAGGCAAACAGGCAACAATTTTGTGGCTTTACATCAAAGTTTCAACATATTGAGAGTGAAATTTTCAATTTGAACACACGAACGATGCCTTGATCGATGTTGAATAATATACTTTCTAGGAAGGTTCATTTAGGCCAAGTTAGGTTAGATTATTTAGAGCAATAATAAAAAGATATTTCCCCATCTATTATCACGTCTTCGGAATTCAGAGAGCCATAAGAGGAGAATGGTATAGCTAGAAGAAGCTTGTATTGATCAATGTGAACCTTTCAACACATTTTGCAACACCTATTACGTTTGACAACAGTGCATCCTTCGGGTGCGTTTAAAGACTGTGGGTTTATCGCAATGTGAGCCTTATGAAATGTAGACCTAATAACGATCTGTCGAAGAATCGAAATTTGGGTGAATCGAAATTTTGAACACTATTAAATATACCGCTTGTTTTTAAAAGTGGTTTTGGGTTTCAACAGATAAACAAATGGAATTCGGTGTGTATGTGTAGTGAATTAATATGGATATTTGAATTTTTCAATTGTTTTCTATCACTTCCGATTTGACGAGAAACGACCCTTATTTTCTTAATTTGAATGGACACCCGGTATATTTTTACTTATTTTGATAAAGAGTCCACATTGTGAATACAATGACACCCCATTTGCCACTTTTTGATATTTCAATTAATAGCATGTCAATTTTTTTCATTTCGCCTGTAATTTATCATTTCACAATTCGTAATATAAGGAACTGACAATGAAAAATAGTGTTTCTTGAGAATTTTTGCCAAAAGTCAATAAGTTCAATAAGGCTGTGCGTAAATGCCCTAACAAAAATGTTTTTTCTTTTTCTTCAAACAAATTGTCACTACTGGATTTTTCTTTTAGGCTCCCTGATAGAAAAATTTGTTAAACGCAGTGACATTTTGGGGCAAATCATCTGATTTGTCCCACTACAAATATATCGAAATAATACGCATATTTTCATTTCATAGAAACGAGGAGAGAAAATTCCAAAAAATCAAGTAAAATGAATGTACCACCTCCTCGATTAACCTACAGACAGTATTTATTCTGGATGTTCATATTCCAAACACAAAAATACTTCAAAGTTGGAAAGGTACATATACATTCACTACCGTTACGAAATCCAAAAACTCACCGGAAAACTATCCGCGCCTTTGCCGGAACCGTTAGCACCGGGAGGACTGAGCGTCCCATTGGCCGTCGACTTGGGACTGCGGTGCAAATTCGACGTGCCCTGGTGGCTCAACGTATTACTAGCGCTCTTATTGGCCAGCGAGCACTCGCCCATGTCGAGCTGCGCCATCAGCGAGGCGAACTCCAAGGCGGCCTCGCGCGTCACCGGGAACCTGCCGCCCGCTATCTGCCTGTTCACCTGGTAGCAGAGCAGGAGGCGCTCCTTTTCCGTTTCCAGCTTGGCGCAGTTCTTCCACCACAGGCGGCTCTTGTACGTCAGGCGGATCACTTTGCTGTTCTCGAACTTGCCTGCGAGACGAACAAATACATGCATAGGCTTTTCATCAGACAAATTAAATTGTTCCATTTCCTTCAACAACAATAAGATTTCCACGGTATTCTTTGAAACAAGACACACATTAGCTTCTTGACCTTCCTTGCCTAATATACATTATAAACTTTGAATATTGGATATTATTATTATTATTATTATTATTATTATTATTTTAAATTCATATAATTCCAGTCACGACCCTGCGGCCTCCGACGTCACGCAGAGTCGTGCTGGATAAAATTCAGTGACTACTCCTCACAGCCTGTGAGGTGAGTAATCACTGGGACCAAGTACCGTGTGCCCTAAGTAGACGCAATGATCCCAGTATGACGGCCTTCTGCATTCCACCAGCCAGGATGTGTGCCTTATCACGGCACGCTGGGATTTTCTGGATCTCCGAGAGCAGCGTGTGTCGTGTGCCTCCTAGGGAGCCGATAATCAGGATGACCAATTCCACAGAATGGTCTGGATAGAGCCGGCGAAGTTCGAAGAGAAGATCTCGATATTTAGTCCGTTTTTCCTCCTCCTTCAAAACGATGTTCGGTTCGGCTGGCGCCGAAAACTCGATCACGAACATCGCTTTGGTTTGATGGTCGAGGAGGACTACATCAGGCTTGTTAGCTTGAATTTGCCTGAGGGTGGGGAATGAGAAGTTCCAATAAATTCGGCACCTCTCATTCTCCACAACGGACTCAATATCCCCCGGAGCATAGGGCAGCACTGGGGTCTCGTCTATTCCGTACGAGTGCCTCAAATAGTAGTAGAGCACTCGCAATGCCGCATTGTGTCTATGGATATAGGCCGAGACTGCATACACCGTGCAAGAAGACAGCAGGTGCATAATTGTCTCGGGCGCCCTGCGGCAGGCCCTGCAACTTGTGTCAGGGACCTCCATACCCATGACACGGCTACGGTAGACGAGAGTGTTAAAAACCCCATCCTGGCATGCCATGATGAACCCCTCTGTTTCCGATTTGAGCCCGCCTGACTTCAGAAAAGCAAAAGTCAGTTCTTTGGATTATTATTATTATTATTATTATTATTATTATTATTATTATTATTATTATTATTATTATTATTATTATTATTATTATTATTATTATTATTATTATTATTATTATTATTATTATTATTATTATTATTATTATTATTATTATTATTATTATTATTATTTTTTTTTTTTTTTTTTTTTTTTTTTTTTTTTTTTTTTTTTGGGTCTTGGCGTCGACTACTAAGGTCATTGGCCATCCATACCTTCTGATTGCTAACTCATACATTCATCTATCTTTGTAATTTTCTGTTTCTTTTGTTTTTACTTCACGTGGATAACTGTCAGGTAGATCTTGTTCTTATATTCTTTTCAATAATTCTGTTGTTCTCAGGAATCTCATCAGTTTATCAATTTCTCTCGTGTTATTGCTGAGACATATTCTCAAGTCAGCAGATAGCGCAAGTTGGTGACGAATTCCATTGTAATGAGGGCATTCCACCAAAAGGTGTTTCACGGTTAGGCGAGCAGTTCTGCAGAATTCGCATCTCGGTTGCCGTTCGTTTCTGAGCATGAACATTGATGTCAGGTTTGCATGACCGATTCTGAGCCGGGTAATAACGACCTGTTCTCTCCTTGAAAGGTTTAGTGGATAGTGCCATTTAGTTACAAACGGTTTTATTTCCTTGAGTTTAGCTTCAGTATTACTCCACTCATGCTGCCATTTCTTGATTATAATACCTTTTATGTATGTTTTCAAGTCGTCGTGTCTCACTGGGATATTCTCAGGTACGTTCACACTTGCTGCATTTTTCGCTGCTTGATCTGCCAACTCATTTCCATATATTCCTACATGTCCTGGGATCCATATAAGACATATATGCTTGTTCTGTTGACCTAGCCAATCCATCAGTGCCAGTAAAACTTTGATCATCGGATCTTTGTTATATACATCTCTTAGTGCCCGTATCGCACTGAGGGAGTCTGAACATATCAGAGTTGTATCATATGGCTGCGTTTCCGCATATCTCAAAGCTTGCCAAATTGCATATAGTTCAGCAGTATAGATACTCGCAGAAGATGGTAGTGTCCAGGAATAACTCTCTCCAAGGGAAAAAAATGCACTACCCACACCTTCTTCAGTCTTAGAGCCATCAGTATAAATTATTAGACTATTCGCATATGTGTCGATTATAGTATTAAGTGCGTTCAAATACATTATTTTATTAGTTTCGTCTTTCTTGAACGCTGCACATTCTAGATGTATAGTAGGCGAGATTATCCTCCATGGAGGAACTTCACATGGCCCGATGTTATAAAATGAAGGTAGAATTAAATTTGAATTCTGTAAGAGTTCTTGAAAACGAATTCCTGCTGGTCTCATTATCGTTGTTCGTCTCTGATACATATCCATTTCCTCACCAGGACGAAATAAAATTCGATTAGGGTGGTTTGCTTGTGCACAAATACCTACACCGTAGTTCAACAATAAGATATTTCTTCGGTATTCTAAGGGTTGCATACCAGTTTCACAGTGGAGTGAGGATAATGGACTTGTACGGAATGCACCAGTGGCCAATCTCAGCCCCATACCATGGATGGAATCCAACAATTTCAGGTGTGATTTTCTAGCAGTCCCATATACTACACATCCATAGTCAATTTTTGATAGAATCAGCGTCCTATAAAGCCTTAGTAATGTATCTCTGTCCATTCCCCATGTTATATTTGATACTGTTTTAATTATATTCATGGTTTTCTTACATCTCAAGGCTAAGTTCTCGATATGGTCTTTGAAGTAAAGTTTCTTGTCAAATGTTATTCCAAGAAACCGTATAGTCGATGTATACTCGATAGGTTGACCACGTAAAGTAAGTCTAGGCTCATTGTGGCAAGATCGAAGTCGACAAAAATGCATACATCTGGTTTTGTTGATAGAAAAACGGAAACCAATATCATCAGCTTTTTTTATTAGTTTGTTTATATTTCTCTGTAATTTATTTTCCATTTCTTGAATAGATTTGTCTGAACAAAAAATTGACAGATCGTCGACATAGAGACATTTACCAAGTGATGCATCTATCACTGATACCAAACTATTTATTGCTACTGAGAATAGTGTTACGCTCAAAGTGGATCCTTGAGGGATTCCATTTTCCTGTACGTGATGTTCTGAGGTAATATTTCCTATTCGCACTTCGAAGTTACGATTTTTCAAGAAGTTCTGAATGAATATGGGTAGGTTACCTCTCAAGCCCCAGTTATGAAGCGTTCTCAGTATACCATATCTCCAAGTAGTGTCGTAAGCTTTTTCAATATCAAAAAATACTGCTGTCAAGTGATTTCTTTCAGCGAAGCTATTCAAGATGGCATTCTCCAGGTATATTATTTGGTCTACAGTTGATCTATTTTTGCGGAAACCTGATTGACAATCCGACAACAAATTATTGGATTCCATGTGCCATGTGAGACGATTGCTGACCATTTTTTCCATTATTTTACTCAAACAGCAGGTGAGTGATATAGGGCGGTAGTTTGTTGGAAATTTAGGGTCTTTGCCATCTTTAGGTATGGGTATAATGGTAGCGTCGCGCCATTTGCTAGGGTAAGTACCATCTTCCCATATTTTGTTCATTATCATGAGTAAATTTTCTTTTTGGTTTTCAGGTAAGTTATATATGAAATCATATGGGATTTCATCAGGACCTGGTGCAGATTTCTTAGAAGTGCTTAGTACTTCGTCTAATTCATGTCGAGAGAAAGGCACATTATATGAAGTAGGTGTAAGAGAGTTGAAGTTCAATGGTATTTCAGAGACACGTTTGATTTCAGTGAACGTAGGCGAGTAATTTTCTGAAGAGCTGGCTTGTTCGAAATATTTGGCAAGATGTTCGGCAATCTCTAACTGATCTGTAATCAATTGATCGTCAACAGATATAACTGGTGAGGGTGATGCAAATTTTCTTCCTCTGATGCATCTGATTTTTTGCCATACTTCTGTTGTCGGAGTGTCAGTGGTAATGGATGAGACGTAATTTTGCCAGGATTGTCTTTTACTGCTTACTATAATATTCCTTGCTCTTGCTCGAAGGCGTTTGAATTGGATCATGTTCTCTTGAGTAGGTGATCTTCTGAAGATATTGAAAGCATGTTTTTTTTCTGAAATCACACGAGCTACTTCTTCATTCCACCAAGGAACGTTTTTATTTCTCCAAGTTCGACCTGTTTGCGGGACTGTTTGCTTTGCCGCAGACAGGATAGTATTGGAGAAGGCTTCTATTGTATCATCAATGGTTCCGTCAGGAGGTCGAAAAGTAGACACGATTTCTCGATATCGAGTCCAATTTGCTCGTTCTAAGCGCCATCGTCTAGGAACTTCCTGATTCATGAGACGGTCTGCACATTCGATGGTGATCGGAAAATGATCTGTACTATTATGATGGTTGAGACAACTCCATAAAAGGTCTGCTGCCATTTCAGCTGAACATATCGTCAAGTCAATTGCTGAAATGTTGTTCGATCTAGAATTTAAGTAGGTTCCATCTCCATTGTTCATGATCACCAGATTCATATCATCCACGAACTGTTCTACAACCCTTCCACGGGCATCCAGTCTACTAGATCCCCATAGTTGGTTGTGTGCATTAAAGTCCCCTAGAAGTATGTATGGTGTTGGAAGTTGTTCGACAAGTTCCACCAAATTGTTGAGGTTCCAGTTATATTCAGGTAAATATATATTACAGATGGTCATTTTATATGGAAAGTCCAGTTGTACAGCTACAGCTTGGATATCAGTTCGTAATACAACATGATTAACAGGAATGTTGTCTTTAACGAATGTTACTACACCACCGTGAGCACGTAGATTTGGCTCCACGTCCTTTCTATATGAATTATACCCTCGTAAGTTGAAGGGTTCTCCAGGCTTGAAATGAGATTCTTGAAGACATATGCAGAAAGGAGATTTTTCTGCTAAAATCATTTTTAGTTCGCCATAATGTTTCTTACATCCATTACAGTTCCATTGTATTATGTTCTCTAAATTAGCCATTGGTAAAGATTATTATAGGATTATTAAGGATATGGAATAGATTTATCACAGATTTATCACAGGTTTATCACAGATTTATCACGAGTTAATCACAAAAATTATCACAGATCTATCACAGGTTCAATCGCAGCTTCTTTTGATTGGCCCTTGTGTTTTTCGCCAATATCTGACTGAGATTGCTGAGATTTTAGTGCGGGCTCTTTAGTATTTTGGGAGAGAGGTTTTCGTTTTCTACCCTTCTCCCAGCCAGGTTTTCTCTTACTTTTGCCTTTGACTGCTATATCACTTTGACTTTCGTCAGATTCAATTGAGTCTTCTAGACAATAATTAGGAACAGAAGTCCTTTTTCGCTTCTCAGATAGACTAGGTTGCGTTGAGACGTCTGATAGTATCAGATTTGTCTCCGACGAGAAATCTGTAGGTTTAAGGAAGGTTGGTTCGTTCGAAGTTGTTTGCTTTGTGTTATTTGTGTTATTCGAGTCTATTATAGTCTTGACTAAGTTCGTTATGAGGGGTGTAAGATCAGTGATCACTTTCTTGAGGTCGTTTTGTTTCGAAATTGCTGCTTGTGTTGCCTGTGAGTAGGAAACTCCAGTGGTTGGAGTTAGTGGTATAACTTTTCGTTTGGCTTCAATGTATGATATTTTTTCTGTTATCTTGATTTTCTGAATAGCCATTTCTGTTTTATACTTACTGCATATTTTAGATTTCGCAGAGTGTGATCCATTGCAATTAACACAAACAATAGGTCGTTCACAAGGTGTCCCTTCATGAAGTGATTTACCACATATACATACTTGATCTCCTTTGCATCTTAGCGCCGTGTGTCCAAATTGTTGGCATCTGAAACATCTCATAGGAGCAGGAATATAAGGTCTGATTTTCAAATGGTAAAAAGCTGCTACAACACTTGCAGGAAGGTTGGGAGTGTTGAAAGTGAGGATGAGATTTGGTGTATCAATCAATGTTCCGTTCAATTTAGTCATCATTCTTTTTACTTCCACAACACCTTGGTCTTTGAGTTCATCTAGAATCTCTTCAGTCGTGCAGTTCAGTAAATCTTTGCATGTAACAACACCTTTGGACGAGTTCAGAGTTCCATGAGGAGATACTTCAACATCAAAGTCTGAAAAACGTTTAACTTCCAATAATCTCTTAGCTTGAGAGTTCGAAGATGTTTCCACTAGTAATCCATCTTTAACCTTCCTGATATTTTTCGTACTTCCAATTAAACCATACATGACTTTCGAAATAACAAATGGGTTGACTTTTGAGAAGTCCCCATCAATTTTCTTGATGAGTAGGAACCGGGGAATTCGTTCCACCGTCTCGTTACTCATTATGTTTGGGGTTTTTGAGTGAGATTGAATCATTTGAAGTCCCACGAGTAATGATGAAAACATGGTCGAATATGGCAGAGCATCATACCATATCAAGGCTATATACATCCGGAGGTCGCCTGGTATCCGGAGGACATCGTTAGCAACTCAGTCACGGTGAGCCATTCATCCCCTCGACACGATGGGTTTCCGCCTTGGGATTCCGAGCTCAGGTACCCCGGGGTCGCTATGCCCGTACTTGGAACCAGTGAGGAATCCAAGCCCCTGGGGGCTATTATTATTATTATTATTATTATTATTATTATTATTATTATTATTATTATTATTATTATTATTATTATTATTATTATTATTATTATTATTATTATTATTATTATTATTATTATTATTATTATTATTATTATTATTATTATTATTATTATTATTATTATTATTATTATTATTATTATTATTATTATTATTATTATTATTATTATTATTATTATTATTATTATTATTATTATTATTATTATTATTATTATTATTATTATTATTATTATTATTATTATTATTATTATTATTATTATTATTATTATTATTATTATTATTATTATTATTATTATTATTATTATTATTATTATTATTATTATTATTATTATTATTATTATTATTATTATTATTATTATTATTATTATTATTATTATTATTATTATTATTATTATTATTATTATTATTATTATTATTATTATTATTATTATTATTATTATTATTATTATTATTATTATTATTATTATTATTATTATTATTATTATTATTATTATTATTATTATTATTATTATTATTATTATTATTATTATTATTATTATTATTATTATTATTATTATTATTATTATTATTATTATTATTATTATTATTATTATTAACTGTGTATGTACATCTGCTGAAATTTTCCGATGGCCCAAGAAAGTTTTTGGGTCACAAGTTACACGTTAAAAGTTTAGGCCCCCGTCATTCCTTGCTCGCATAAGTCTCTTGAAGACTTCTGAGGATTGCTCGTAAGGGGGCAACCGAATGACGGATAGAACAATGTTAGAACAGCAATGAAAAAACACCCAGTAAACGATTCTCATCAACCTATAGCGTGGAGGTTTGAAATGGTTAATAGAAAAATACTTGGTTAAATGAATGAAACTACCGCTAATATCTTTGTAACAAAAACGATGATAGATCCCTGCTCGGGCGCCCTGTAACGACCCAAAATCGAACATACGCAGTTGAAATTTCAAACAACAGAATTTACTCCTCCATCAACAGCAAAATTAGATTCATTTCTACATAGTTGAAGTAAAGTTAACAGGTTACGCGTTGAAAAGGTATTTATAAAGTAAGGAAGTAGGGACTTCTAAATTTCGAAAAGCAAGAGTTTAGAAACTGATACATACCCATTAAAAATTCCAAACAACGGCATCTACTACCCCAATCCCACTTGGACATCCTCATAACGACATCTACTACCCCAATCCCACTTGGACATCCTCTATCCTATTTTGAATCATCAGTAGAAATAATTACGATTCATTCCTACATAGACGAAACTTGAGTTGCTTATTTATTTATTTATTTATTTATTTATATGTATTTTAGCCTATGGCCTGAAAAATTGCGTGTTAAGTACTTGTACAAACTTCAAAAGGTTGATCTTTGACTGATTTCGAAACAAAAAGTTCATATGAACATGGGTCCGCAACAGCTGGGTTTTTGAGATACAGAGGGTCAAAAAAAAATTATTTGGATTTGAAGTAGCAGTTATTGATGTGAATGATATTAACTAGTTCAATCTCAGTCTTGTAAATGATCTAAGTTATTGATAAATACTACCAGATTCTGGTTAATTATAACAGAGGTGGGGCTATGTCTTAATAACTATAGTAGTTCATAAAATGACGAAAACAACCTTGGTGGAAAAAACACACTTTAAGCCTTAAAAAAGAGTAAATAATGGTATATAGGTTCTATAGTAAGATGGAAATAGTATATATACATTGTTTAACGAGCACGGAATGATAGTCATTTCCCACGAGTATGAATAAGTAATGCTATACAGAGCTGTCATGGCTTGAAATTTGACATTTCATGTGAGATGAGATATTGTGGAATAATAGAAAACACAATGTCATTGTGATATCAGATAGGGAAATAACATTGATGACATACAAAGTACCTCATTGATTTGTGGAACACAGTTAAACAAGAGCAATTTCAAGTCATAGCCGTAGAAAAAAAATTTTTACACCGGCGGGAGTAGAAGTTAGTTTCTCTGGTAACAAAAAAGGGGCAGAAGTCTCGTATCATTCCCTAGGGAGATAATGTGTCATATTTTCTCCTTAGGGAGTTTATACCAACTTTACATTTTCCGCATAGCTCTGCGCTTTCTTTTCCAAACACTCTTCTCTGAAGAGAGTATAAGCTGCATCATACAGATTTCTTTATCTCAATGGTAGCAAGTTAAGAATCACTGCCGAAGCAATATCAATAGTTTCTTGGGGTTTCCCTCGATTTCACAGTTAGTAGAAAGGGACTTCGTATAATGAACTGAACGAACGCAATGTTTCTTCACAAAAACACTGATAGATCCCTGCTCGGGCGCCAGATGTTACAACTCCAATATCATTTATCTAAAGAACATAAGCAGCTGAGATTTTTCAAACAGAAATTACTCACCTAGTCCCTTCTCGCGCAATGCGATCTCCCACTTGGATATCAGGTCGCACAGCTTCGCAGCCGGGTCCAGCGTGTGCTCCAGATCCTTCTCGATGGGGTCGTCGCTGAAGATGGCGAAGCCGTTGGTCGTCCGGCAGCCGATCTCCTGCGCCATCGTGTCCTGGAACTCCCTGATCGAGGTGGAGCCGTCGAAGCTGGTGATGTGGTAGGCGCCGTTGGCCAGATGGACGGGCATCGAGTGGGGCAGCGAGTGGTGTTGCGGGTTCTTCAGCAGGATGCTCAACACCTCCATGCGGGACGGTTTCAGCTCGCGACCTCCTAGAAGAAGGGATGAACGATTGTGATGCCCCGAAATGATTAGTAGCGCTGAACCGAAAGTCTTTTGAGTTTCAACATGACTAATTTTGAACGTGAACGAATTTGATGGTCTTGAAACAATAGTCAGTCAACCCACTGTCGAAAGTTTTAGGAGTTCAATTAGAATATAGGATATTTTTGGCAATATTTCATAAGAATGTGTTCCTTCATTGCATGTAGAATTCTAGAAAGATGTATGAGTTCACAATTGGCGAGTGGACTATTTTTTGTTTGCCCTTTTTTGGACAGAATCCAACAGTTTCAGGATAGAATAGAATAGAAGTGAAATAGCTCCTGGCCCGAAACAGAAAACCAAGTTTTTAGGATGCACTTTTAGCAATTGATCTCACGTGACTTTTCCAAGAAAGGTTATTGCTGATAGTAATACCAAGCATCAAAATGGATGTCTTCAAAGGTATGGTTACTCCTGACAAGCTTATGTTGGGCACAGTGAGATCGGCTTTTCTAGAGAAAAGGCATGCTTGTGTTTTGTTTCCATTGAAATCTACCAAGTTATTGGTATTCGAGAATTGTTGCCATTATTGGGATTAAGAGTTGAATATTGGGTTATGAGTTATTATAGAGTTGTAGCTTTCAAGTATTCGGGATGTTCAAAAGTTTGAATTTATTTACATTGATATTTTTTAATTAATATTTGGCACTGTAAACTGATCTGAGAAATGAGTTTTTGAGTTTAAGTAAATTAACATTTAAATATTTTTTATTCAATTCAAATTATAGATATATAATCTTTTGTTTTTCTCCCACATAATGCCAACCACATAGCCCACATGTGACTTGTAGACATCTCCCTTATACAGGGGTGGATAACACACGATCGTTGGAGGTGTTAGAGACAGTGACTCTATATAGAGACAAAATAAATTCCGTTGTCTAGATTTGACAGCAAATATAGATTTTTCTATGAGTTCCACCAAAAAAAAAGATGATGCTATTCTATTGACACCGAGGCCCCTACTGATGATTTTACCTGCCAAAATGGTCCTCTCCAACGCCCTCTCGCAATACGCCGCATACTTGCCGCACTCCGTCCTGTTCTCGGCGTGCCTCTGCAGGTGCACCTTCAAGAACCACAACAGCATCGAGTTCTTCGGCACGAACAAGCTGACAGCGAGGGCGAGCAGCTGCCAGCCCTGCAGCAGGGCGTAGGTCGGGGGGCCCTTGTGGTCCTTGTGTTTGGCCTCTTCGTGGGCGGCCTGCACCTCGGACAAGGCGATTTGTTGGTCAGACGCGGTGCCGTTTAGGCTGTGGCTGGTCGCCGTTTCGCACGTGAAAAGGCTTTGCGTGGCGCATAGCAGCAGTTGCTGGAAAAGAGTATTGGTGTTTCTTTCGTGGGACGGCGCTGAAATGGGCCGATTCTCCCGGTCGTGATTTGTGATCGATGAGGATGCGTTCGTACAGAAAGAGAAGTAGATAGAGTGTGTATGTTGCTGAGTGGTTGTGATTGTGAATGGAAAAGTGATGCGATGCGACTGAATAAAAAATACAAACTTCTTATTATTCTCACTAATTTCATTTTCTATACTGAAAACAAAAATACATTTCACCTAAAGAACTAAAGCCTATCACAGAATCAAAATACTGAGTGGTGAGCCTTGAGAAACTTCTGATGAAAAACGAATGTGCAGTATGACCCACTCATTCCAAATAATCCATATGAGAACTATAAAAAAAGGTCCCCTATTTAATCTCATACAGATTGGTGGTTCTATTATAGAGAAGTAGTATCTATATACTAATACGTAAAATGTGTATTTTGCTTTATAATTAGTGTGATTGTGAAAAAAATGAGAAGAGATTGTGCTTTATAAAAAGAATCCACAGTGAATCATACCAACTCTCAATTATTCATATGGGGGAAAAGAGAATGTGCAATGATGTCTTGCCAGGAGAACTAAATCGAATGCAGAGTGGTGAGTCAATAGAAACTGTACATACGAACTCTTATTAATATGTGATACATGTTAAGATGCTCTCATATCGAAAACTGAAAGAAACTTCGACATAATCAGAGTCAGGGTCATTACACATCACTCACTAGATAACGATCACTCCATTATTTCAATTCAACAATATGAATATGAACTGTGCAATTTAGTGTAGAGTTTTTATGTATCAAGGTAATTATCAGCAGAAAACAGTAAACTAATATAAGAGCATTTCATCTACAAATATCAAAAATAGCAATTTTCTGGATCTCGATCTCGAAAAACTAACAAGAAATTCATTTAAAATTCTGTCACTTTCCATTTTTCATGGTGTAAAATGTGGTAACGACATTAATTTGTCCTTATTCGGACCTATTTGCGGCAATTGAAGTTTATTACATTTCCCAATGAAAACCAACTAATAGTATTATGGATAATATGAAAGATTGTATGAAAGTAAGAACAAGAAAACATACACAGGCAATCTATTGGCATCTCTATTCTAACTTTCTAAAAAACTCAATTATCGAAATAAATGAAAAAAAGTAATGACGAAACACCAACATTCTTCATAGTTTCGAAGGTAGAAAACAATGCAGATTGAAAGCATAACAATTAGGACCATGTGAGGAGTGAGGACTATCAGCAAATGCATTTCTCACATAGTCCTATTTGTTGAGAAGATAGCAATACAGCCGAATGGATGACATATAACAATTTGACCCATTTGAAAGCAGGACACCTTTGGCAGTCACCAACATAAATGATATATCAATCAAAATATCAGTTTTGTCTCCTTTATGATTGCACTCACTTGATCAGAAAAAATGAATCCATATGAAATATTTTTCTTTTATTCAGTCATGAAAAATATCGGTTTGAAATACAATACACGCTTTTTTGAAGAGGAATATAATACATTTAGATGATCAGTAAAAAATGATCTCTTACCCCAAGAGATGTACTCAGTTGTGCTTTGCTTCCCATGAAAAATGCCACTCTGCTTGTTGTACAAGGTGAACAACTAAGAATGGCTGTCTTATCTATCATTCTTCCAACTTTGATAGTTTATATCTTCCGTTGGCGAAAAGCTATCATGTTGTATTTTTCATTCATATCATTAGGTTTATTCTATCTCAAACTTGTATCATTATTAGTTGCTGAGATATGACCGACAGCCGTTTTTAGTTGTTCACCCTGTACAGTTTTTCATTAATTAGTAATTATTTCTCAGTTATATAATGTCTTGCATTCAAATGAGTCACAATATGGATGAAACATGCAATATGTGAAAATATATATTGTCTTGTTCAAATGCAATAGACAAAGAATCCACTGTATTTGATCAAAATTTAAAATAAATGAACATTATTAACATTATTTTCAATGAATAATTTATTTATAGATATAAAGAAGTAAAGAAAATGTGTGATAAGCAATTTGCAGTTCAAGTAAAAAATTAAGAGACATGAAGTAGATCTTTTTATTTTTCTTTCTCAAATTATTCTAAATACTATTTCTAGCTCTTAAAAAAGATCTACAGAATGAGAGACATTTTTGTAATCATGAATTAAAAATGTTCCCGATCAGCAGCATAACATATTTCTGTTTCATGTTATAGAAAAATTCATCAGGAACCGATTATGTACAGGCTATCCCACATAACTTGAGCTACCCCCTGATCTGGAAAACTTGAATAGAAACAAAAAAAAAATAGGGATGTTTAATATAACATACGAATTAGTATGTATCTACGGTATATTATGTTGCCGATATTTGCTAGGGTTGGAAAGTTGGAGGAGAAACAGTAAAAATATATGGTAACATTCTTGAAGGAAAAATAACAGAGAGGGTCGTCTAGGAAAGATATAACAAAATAAATGGAAAAAGAAAAGAAAAAAAGGAAATGTGAAGTGGGATAGATACTTTCAGCAACAAGCAGCAGCAGCAGCGATCGAGGTCCACCAAAAATAATAACATTTAATTATTCAATTTATCGTAGATATCAAAAATTCAGCTGAAATTCAGGGTGTTGTGAACATTATCTGGAACCTGAGGACCCCATTAATATTCAGAGCTTTGAACTCTTACAATCGGAGGCATAATTTGAACTAAACAGGATGATCCATATGCCCGTGACGTGGCAAAAACAGACGTTTTTTCGAATGGAATAGAAAGACGAGTTCAATAATCAATGGTACATGATGACATTGGTTTGAGATTACCCGTTTCGGATTTATGCACGATCTTCTTCAATAAATAGCCATATATCAAAGCCCTATAGAATCGTCATAAATCAACAAATACTACATGTTATCTTGATATTTCATAAATTTTCAGAAATTTTGAATTTGATGAAGGTGATGACGTATTTTGTACACCGATCATTTTCTCGAAATTCTCAAATGAGACACCCTGTATCTCATTTCTCCCTTGGATAGAGCTCAGAAAGAAAAGTTCAATGATGTATGATAAGATTTGTCTGAGAATATCCGCTTCGGGCTCATCCACGATTTTCTTCAGAGTAGTACAATTTTAAAACCATCTAACAACGTTGTGCATTAAGTTCTCCATCGGCATTTTCCGTTATAAATCAACAAATTCTGTATTTTTTTCAATGTTGATCGAAATTAAGATCGTTTGAGTTTGCCAAAAGTGATGGTGTATTTCAAAAACTGATTTTTCTAACATGAAACAAACCCTTCCCGAATCAGACGAATATTTTTCAACATATACGGAGAACCACTTCATTTGTCCATTAGTGAATATTATTTTCGTTAATGGGCGTGTACACCTTAGTAGAACTTTTAACTCGAACCATGTTTATAATGATCCTTTTATACATAAATAATGATTACCGACATAATTCAATCGAAACATTAACTGGAATGTTTTATTTTTGTACATAAATAATAGTACCTTCTGAAAACGGACCCTCTTATGACGTAGAAACCTCATCTCGCCATAGTTGAAAGAAAATTCCAAACGTCCGACAGAGACTAAGAGGCAACTGATATTAATTCTTTCAACTGTGATCTCGCGCTAATTCACTCTGTCAGAAATCATGTATCATTCATCTCTGTCTGGAATAGTCTGGTATCAGTACTAGTACTAGGGTTTTGACGTCACATCATCGCCTCGTTTTCAGAGGTCCTAAAAATCGGAGATTTCAATAATTTTTTATAAAACTTAGGGAGTTCACAGCAAGAAGCGGTTTGCGGTGGTGAGCTAGTTTGGGTGAGTTCTATCGAATTATGAAATAAATTTTTTTTGTGATACAAGCCCATTGAACATGATGAAGTCTATAAAGATTCACAATGGAAGAATCATGAAAAACACTTCATACAAATGTTCGTCGATTACACCAACGTCTCTCATCAGGGCGGGAACTGAACGGTATAAAAACCAAATAGAAGAAGCACACTTACGCCCTTCTTTAGCAATTTTTGTGTGGATACCTGGACTCCGAGCTTGGGCGGCGGGGCGCTCTTGCTGGTCTGCTTGATCAGCGCGCAGATCAGCTCGGTCTGCAGCTCGGCCACGTCGAGGCACTGCTGCAAAGCGTTCTGGGCCAGCACCACGTGATAGTCGATGCCGGCCTGGTCGACGGCCGCCGACATGAACAGCTGCAGGCACTTGAACAGCTTGATGGCCTCGGCCTAAGAACAAATATTAGGGTTATCGTTCGAGCTCGAAATAGTAATTTACGGCAAGTAGTGATTTTCCGCAGGAGCTAGGTACTAGTTAATCATACACCGAGGTAGTAAAGAATATCAGTAAGATTATATCCCGAGGTTTCAGTCATAAGGTCCCGTGGTGATAATCTTCTTTACTACCAAGGTGTATATTACATTTTTTTCACCTCTATCAATACATTCCAATGATTTTAGTTCTGTGAAACTGAAATATGAACCTATGGTCACTATGAAAGCACTCCTTTTTAATTCTAATTGAAACCTAGTATCCATGACCATCGATAAAATCGTGCGGAAAAGTTACTTTTCCCTACACTCTTAGGAAAATACTGTCTGACTGTCTGATCATCGAGGAGAACACACTCATTAAGCGGCGTTCACAACCAAATTTTTTACGTTTTGCTTTTTACGATTCGTATTCTAATTGGTGAAGAAGAATCTGAAATTAAACGTGAATTGAACTGAAGCAAATGTCAATCTAAACAAAAAACGTCAACATGAGTTTTAACGGCTCTTCTCAGTTGCCTCGGTTTGATCACTTGTGCTTCATCCAAAAATAAAGTGAAATAATCATAACAATGATATCAAGTACATAATCAATAATAGTCTTGAGAACTGGCTGAGATGAAAATTGCTCCTTTTATTCTATACTTGAAGAGAAAATCCAATTCTAAAAAAACGGTGAGACCATCACTGAGGTGTGAGAATAGGAAATTGAACAGTATCTACTATTCCCTGGATTAACAAAGAAATCGCATGAGCAAATACATTATCATAACTCAGATGAAATATCGTATTTTCACCATTTTCACAGATGACGGCAAAGCTAAAATCTGAACATTTTCAGCTATTTGCGTCAATTGAATTCCAGTGTTCACTTCACCAATCAGAATACGAAACGAAAAAAGCAAAATGTAGAAAGTTTGGCTGTGAACGTCGCTTTACTCGGAATTTCGTAGGTGTTTTCATTCCTTGTCTCCATTAATAAAGAATTCAGTTTTATTTTAACATGTATGTAGTATGGACTAAAGTTCCTCAATGTATTTGACCAGTGCGCAGACCAGCTGTGGCTGCAGCTCCGGTGCGTCGAACAGCTGCAGGCATTTGTATAGATTGATGGCCTCGGCGTTGGGAAAAATATTCGGGTCGTCATTTGAACTCGTCTAGCATGGAAATTTGTCTGTATGACGTGTTTTTGGAATCAGTACACATATTCTGCACATCGATATAAAACAGTGTGACGAATAATTGCAAGATTTTTTCTTATTCTTTTACTAAACGAGAAATTCCAGCCACAAAACTGACTTGATTGAAATAATTTAAGGTGGTGGTGACGTCAGAATTGCTACAGTGGAGAGGTCTCACCCCAATTGGTGCCAATCGATAATATATGCAAAGCTTTCTCAGGATTTGAAATATTTGTATTCATTTCAATTGTAAGGGTAGTGAAAGAGGTGGTGATCTTTATTAAGGGACCCTGATACTTTGGCACTATTTGGACAGAGATTTCTCGGGCACCAGATTTTTGATGAAGGTGATTTACTTCACCTACACCTTCAAACTGAATTCTTCAGGAGGCCTGGGTAGCAACAGTGGAGACAGGTAGAGGAAGTATACCTACCTCGGTACCTACAGTATAAACGATCGGGTCAATGTTATTGCTCAGATCTGGATCAGAAGCCAAGAGACTGTAGGCTTTAATTACAAACCCTGGATTTAGCCTGGAACACTGGTTGCTATATTTATTCGATATAATTACAGGAATTGAAACAAATGTTTGTCAAAAACAGTCTCTGTTATTCGTGGGTTAGGCCTGGAAAATTATTTATTTAAACTATTTCATCAAAAGGAAGGACACTATTCAGGATCGGGTAATTATCGTATCAGAAAACAACAGGAATATGATGATAAGAGAAATATATACAAACTCACATGTCGAACACAAATTCACAATTCGCGGTAGTCAAGGTCATCATCTGACGTTGCGATGACATGAAAACTACGGGAAAACATGTCTAACTTCCAATCTAAGCCAGGGGATATGCTATAAAATTACACGCACATGGAATATCAAATTAATAAACTACTATTCAGTGTCACGTATTTAGTTCAGATAACTGTGAGATCGCTCAAGAATGAAATTATTAGATTAGAAAAAAACGGAAAAGTTAAAATATCCGCAGTTGTGCAGAAAATTATAGATACTCAGAAAAGAGCGGATAAATACTGAAATGCACTGTTGTCTTACCTGTAGATTTTCGGTAGGCAAACTAGTGAGCGGAAAATAGGATGGTACAGCGCCATCTTTGGTACAAGGCACATGCAATAAGACAGGATGTCTCCATAAGACACAGTTCGGATCTCCGTCGACCTCCATTATCTTGTGGATCAGTTGTTCGTATTGGGTGCCCGAACTCGGCCCTCCGCCACTGGCCACAGTCAAATGGTACAACCAAGAATCTTTCTCCTGAAAATCACGATATATTAGATCAGCGAGATAATTCCACCATAAGACACTATCACATATCATCATTCATCAGTTGGCGCAGTCGGTAGGACTGGTTCCATATCAGAAATCCAACGAATTGTTCACAATTATCATTGTCATAATTATAGTATGGTACCTGTTTTCCAGTAAAATGTAGATATGTGGGAGCTTGATTGCTATGGAATATTCCTACGGTATATTTAGGCTGTTCAGAATCCTGTTCTTCTGAATCAGAATCTGAGAGATGTTCGATTTCTTCTACTTTGGCATCCCTCATATTAATTTGGCCATGCGGGGTCTAAAAAATGTATATTTTCAACTCGTGTTCCTACCAATAAAAACTCCCTACAAGCTAAACTTATACTTACGGAATCCGTTGACTTTTTATAATACAAGAACATCTTTCCTATGAGTACACACCAACATTCTCTGGGAATTCCGTTCTTCACTTTCTTTAAAATCCCTTGCAAAATTGGTTTATTTTCATCCCTACTTAACAGTAATTTAGTTGCATTTCTTCGTTGCACGTTTTGCAATATTCTAACCTATAAACCAACAAACATTATGGATCTGTGTTTTCCAAAAGTTTTATGCGTTTCTCACCCAGTCTTCCATTGCCGTTATTGAATCAGCAGTCAGATAATAAGTCTTTTTCCCTGTATCTATTTCGAACGTGTTTGAGCCTTCGGCTCTGGTAATTTTACAAATTTCATCTAGAACTATTTGACCTTGGGGCTTTCTGTTGATATCATTTTGACTTTTATAATAAGTTAAGACACCATTCTTCAGTACGAACCATTTTTTCCTCCACGTTTTCAATTTACCACCTGAAAAATATCGTCTACAACTATAATCGCCATTCAATGCATTCAATTATGCTGTATCATAATAGTTTTATATTTTATTTCGATATTTTTGAATTATATTAAAGATAAAGATATTCATTATATCTGGCGCAGTCGGTAGGATTCTATTTCATAATATTGTAATGATAAAGGATATATGCGGGATGGACGAATAAATCATTGATATTACCTAATTTCGCTAATGATCCACTTTTTTCTAAACTTTCAATCCTCTTGGGACTATCTAGATAAGAGGAAGCCCTCAGCAACATCGATGACTCTAAGCTAGTAGTATCGCAACTCACTGCATCCGGCGGCACAGCATAATCGTCAGACATGCCAGATTCGAACGACGTGTCTGAAACACCTTTGAGTCAATCGTTAATGGATTATATGCAAAATAAAAATTAAGCAAGCAAAAAAAATAGTTAACTTCGACAAAAATCAAGAGTAAGAGTAACATTACCTCTCGTTTTACTTTTGCTAGGCGAACCACTACTGCTGGAAGCAGTTCTTTTTCCAGGACTAGAACCAGAAGTTTCGCCTGAGCTCCTGCTATGTGTATTAGTACCATCCACAGCCTGAAAAAAAGCATTTTAAGTAAACTGACGATTCCTATTGAGACTATCCACCCCCAAACGTGTCATACAATGCAGCTTTCCCCTCGAATTTTCAATTAGAACCTAACAATTTTTACCCCCAATTAATTTTCATTATCTCAGATTTGAATGAGGAATTTTGATCAAACGTTCATCCAGAATCATGTTAAGAATTCAGTATTTATAATTATTATCAGTCAATTTCAATTAAAATATTCCTCCTTAATAGGGCTTCGAAGTTGTTCAGATTTTGAACCAATCGGCACGCTCCATCAGTGAAAAACACTGTGGGAGGAGCCTAACAGAATTTTGTTCCTCTTGACTCCAAACCACCTCGAGAATCGTTTCGAGCGAGTGCATTGCATCTTCACTACTAACCAGTGAGTGGCCAACCAACAAAATAATTGGCATAGAATTCGTTGTCTTTGACACAAACTACCCTAACAGGACAACAACAGTCCCGCCACTTCCCAATGAAGATCCCTATTGCTTCCCGAGTTATTCGCAAGAAAGAGAAACTCCTGTACGGCACCAAAGCTTCAAGACTAAGGACCTTTGTGGTTGAGCCTGGCATATCTTTTGATACCCCGGGGTGTCTCTGGTCGCCTTTTAACTGGGATATGCGAGTACGCGACGGGAATTAGGTTAGGAATGGCCGATACGGAATGCCTTCAACCTTGGTGAGTCTAGCTAGGCGACAGTGAATTATCCTCACAGCGGTGCAACGCCAACGTGGTGTGGTGGATAGGTGATCGGGTAGATAACTAGCTCAATTTTAAATGGCTAGGGAAGCACTGAAGGACTTGCCCTGTGAAGAGATACGATTTTCCTCACAGTTCCATGTTAAGTTAAGACTACAGACTCTACACCTTCCAAGGTGACCATTTCCGCACAAGTGTGGAAATAAGTAGAGCTATTCTTACACAAAACTTGTGGAGAATCGGACGCTACCGCATAAACCCCGAGAATGACTAGCCATCATTTGAATATTTCATTATTAAATTAACTTTCCTAGAAGAACAGGGCACCCAGATAGCCCCCAAAGTTCAATTTCATCTCAAACGGTGTCTCCCTGAAAATAAAAATCGATATTTCTCATCATTTTTTCGAGTTATCAAGGGTAGATACTCTCAAGTCGGCAATTCGGTACACTCCACAAATTAACTAAAAGAAAACGAAATATCCCAAATGAATGAATGAATTCTCACTGTTGTGTTGTTCCCTTCGCCATCGCTCGAGTCATCAGAGGAATCTCCCGTGAAGGGCATCGATCTGATTTGGCTGGCACGCCCTTTGACGGTCGCGTAGACTGGTACTGGTATGTCTTGGTACCCGGCATGGTCCGGTCCCAAGTCGCTAGGCGTAGTACCAGTCAAGGTGAGACCGTCTGCTGCGACCTGTGGAAAAAACGGACGATAAAAAAACGGTCTGAGTTCTAGCTGGTCCATGAAGGAACTGGATAATTGGGACGACACGACACGACACGAGATATAGGTTGAAACAATGACTGTATGTATACCTGTTCGATTAGAATATTTCACCCATTTCATTTAAGGTAATGAAAATTCAAAATGTTTTGTTCTTTATGAACTGTACTACAGTGAAATAAAAATCATGAGTCCATTCTGGTTTAATCGGAAAAAAACTCTAATTTCTTATTTCAGATGGCACCATGTATATATTCTTTTTTGAAGAAACAGAAATCGCATCCGACGAAATTCCGCGTCAGTTTCAGAGCAAAAACCTTTCACGAACTCTAAATCTGCATGCAGTATGAAACAAACTTTAATGGTGACCCTGTATATTAAATGTATCTCTCGACCCCCCGGATACCTTATTCTCGATGTGATTAGTCAGAGATGGGATCCTTGTTCGGGCATTAATCGGTTAGAATAATGACGTAACTAATAAGTCATTAAGGTGGTGAATCAAGCATCATATCACGCTTCATGCAGTTTTTTGAAAAAGAACTATTTACACGTAATGAATTGAAATGTAGGGTTCAGTTGAGTGATCATATTGCATTATTAGTGTGTGAGAGGGTATGAGAAAGGGTGTGTGTGTGTGTTTGTATCGGTGTCATGTGCCACCGTCCGTCAGCGTGTCCATCAGGCTGGCGGTGGTGCTGATGGCGGCGTATATCGAATTTATTTCACCACTAGCAACCTATTTCAGTCATTATAGTTCTGCGAAACTAAAGTATGGACCTATTGTTTCTATGAACGCACTTCTTTTCAATTCTAATTAGAATCTAGTAGCCATTACCATGACAGCATATGACAAGTTCCTGCGAATCTCGCATACAAATTGTGAATTCGGGATGCTTATAACAGAGGTAGTAGTTCGTGAAATGACGAAAGTTTCCTTGATAGGGAAAACACACTTCATGCCTCGAAAAGGAGTACATAATGGCTGGTGTTATAGCTAGTGGTGGAAGAAATATATCTATGAAGAAAATAAATTCTCTGGCAATGATTCCGTAGAGTTCTCCCCACAATTTGCAATTTCATTCATTTTTATACGTGTTTGGCGTTTGGAATTGTTTGCGTATACTTCACAATGCTTTATGAGTGCACTGTGGTGTCTCTCTATTGTTATTTAGTCTGAGCACTCACAAGCAAATTACAAGTGTCTGTTTTTATCCCCACCATTCGCGATTTCAGATCCATGTTTGTCGTTTAGGATCGTTGGCGTACGGTATTCAATGATTCATGAATGAATCGCGGTGTCTAACCTGATAGATCTTCTCCTCCCAGCTCGGAAACCGATGCAGCGGCGGCGTGGGCGCTCTCGGCCACGCCCCCATTTTCTCCCTACTGGGCGTGTAAATCTCCGCGTAATCATGGGCCAAATCGGGGTCGCTCGCGCTGCTGCTGGGCACTCTGCCGCCCCCGACGCTGAGATTGTCGACTGCCGCGCGCAGCTCGTCCGTCAGCGGGTCCATCAGGCTGGCGGTGGTGCTGATGGCGGCGGCGAAGTCAACGCTGGCCACCAGCGTGCTGGGGATGGGCGGCTCGAAGGCGGAGGCGGCTGAGAGGCAGACGGACTGGTGGCGGCGGTGTTTCTGGCTGCGCGCGCCGGCGCTCGCCGTTGGAGGGAACTGGAAAGGTATACGAGATTTTGACTACTACAGTGAACGAATCGTTCTATCAGAATCGGGCAAGCATTTTTCCAAATATTCTGAAAAAGGGCGAGAAAATCAGGTAGACCACTTTGTTTGTCGATCAGTTTAGTTCATATAACATTTTATCTACAACTATGGAGTCATTCATACATTGCTTACTCGATTCTCAACATTTAATTACACACATTATTTTGATGAATCGAGTGATAAGAGTAAAAATGACAGTAGGTTGCCGTAATAATCTGACATCCCATCGTCTTGTCAAATTCAACTAGGTAGGTATTCGTTCTACTAGTTCTACTATTGCACTCCACTATACTACTGTTTGTGAAATACACGCAAATTCAAAAGACTCATCTAACATGGTTCTCATAGTTTTAATCACCTTAATTCTACAAATACACAGAAAAATGAGAATTCGCTGTTTTTATTCTCAACAGTGACTACCATCATGAGAAACAATAACCATAAAATTGGACTGATACTTGACAGTTGCAGATTGGCTCACACTTATGTGCGGGCTATTCGAATAGATTAATACAGACCAATCAGAACCATGGAACTTCATTGTTTATAACTAGCGTCTAGAGACAGGGTACTACAATTAATCATCGCGGTGGGGGAATGCTACAGCGGAAGCAAGTTAATGAATAATCTGCAATAGTATGATTCATTTCACCACTGAAAAGTGAAATGGCATATAATACCTGGTAAGATTGACTGATATGTGATTGCACGAATTTTTTCCTGTTAATAAAAGTTAGATCCAATATTGTCTATCATATTTTTTGACGATCAAAATTATTGAAATAAGTTATAAGCTGTTCGTTGATTTCTGTCAATAAGTTTTCGATGGAATTAATGAGTATTTCAAATCAGATTTAGTGATTTTGCAATATAATAACCTTCATTATTTTCAAAGGTACATTACTGAACTCTCAGAGTTGCTTTGATATTTGAATAGTTGTAGATTGTAGATGTATTCTACTCGTACATGAAGACTATTACCCACACAGATGATTACTGCACTCCTCTTCGGCTCGTACTGCAACTTTCATCTTCGTGGGTAATAGCCATCATTATGCGCTCGTTGAATAATATACTATTATTCAAAGAGCGTATTTATAGAATTTAAGTGTCGAGTTTTTCAGGGATGAGGTTTATTCAACTATGCGTCTAGCTGTGATTAATTATTTCAAAAATATATTCAATGCTGAGACTACTTTGCTCATAATTTTTTCAACTTAGAGAGATAGCATATATTTTTCTTTACAAAATTCCTTCAGAAGAATCAACAATTTACAATTATCTCAAATTATGAATTTGTTCTAGATTGAAGTCAGATTAGCCGAGTGGTTGAAGAGTCAGTATTCAATTCACGATGGATTGCCGGTTGGTGGGTCCGAATTCCAACGACTGCAGACTTCTTCTGATGACTACAACATGACTAGAACTTCATGTTATACCCTGCGTCTTCGAAATGGGTGATATACCCGAAGCGTAGAGTTGGTCCAGTTGTCAGCAGACCAAGAGCGGGTGATGAGACCTAGTGGGTCGAAACAGTACTGTCTCGCTCCTAGATAGATAGATAGATAGATATATAGCACACTTTATTTCCAACAGGTATACACCCAATTACAGGAAATGTTAGTAGTAACGATAATTGTTCAAAACCTAAAATTATTTTTTAATGAAAATTAAAAATGAGAAGAAATATAAAGTGTGACTCATTTTTAATGGAAACACCCCTGTATTTTACGTAATCATTGGGTAAGGATCCTGAAATTTGCTGGAGAGAGAGATATACCAGAAATGCACTCTATCACCAAGTTGGTATCCACCTGTAGCACGTTCTCAAACTTTTTAGGCAATCTTAATTCTAAACCACGGGACTTTTTAGCTGGCAAGATGGCGCCTGGATGGATTCTGTTGTTATTTCCTTTCTCTTGATGGCTGCTATCCACATTCCTCTTTTTATTCTTGATAGATCTTTTATCAGAGTTTTTCACAGAATCACAGTAGGAATGTGAAAAAACTAAGCAAATTTTCCCGATTGCGAAGTTCGAAAAAAATGATAAACTTTGAAAGGCTCAATCTCGGAAAATAATGAGTCTACAGAGACAGTTTTTATATCATATTATAGCAAATCTGGTCTACTTTAAAATAGTTCTGGAAGACTTTTTTTCAAAAACTGGTCCTTTAGGGTTATAATCGCCAAAAACTGAAAAAATAACGATTTTTTTCGCAGTTTTTTCGATTTTTGACAAAGTTGCATTCGGCGCTCAAGGTCAAAAACTTGGATTATTCATTAGGTCAACATCATGAACAAGTCTGCAAAAAATCAGATCTACCGGATTTGACGCATACTGTGATGTATAAAGTTACTGGATTAATATCGATATAAAAAAATATTCCACAACAAACTTCAGATTGTGAAGTTACTGGATTAATATCGATAGAAAAAATATTCCACAACAAAATTTAGATTGTGACAGTTAACTAGTTTGCGTTGGTACTTCGAAAAAAAATAAGAAACCAAATTATCTCACCTGCCTCCCCTCCGGAGATCCCGCTTCCGACCTTCGTCTGTCCGACGACAGCGCCAGATGGTTCCTCAGCAGCTCCAGCTGCCTGTTGCACTTGATGTTCTGCTCGCGCAGCGTCTGGTTCTGGATCTCGAGCTCCTTCAGCTTGTTGGTCACCCACTCCTTGATCCTGGCCGCCTTGGCCTCGACCTGCTTCGCGTCGTGCAGCCGCAGCTGACGCTGCTGCTCGACCTCGGTCTCCAAGCGGTCGATGTGTGCACCGGAATCGGCGTCACTGCGAGCCGTCCAGGCGAGCTTCTGTTCCATTATACGCACCTGAAAGATGAGATACACGTTCTTTCATCACACAGTGTATTTCACATAACTTCGAATATGTTATGAATGACAATATTTTACAACGTCGACAAGTAATTAAAGACCTCGGGGTCTATATGCAGAGCAATTTAAAATTCACAACGCATTATGACTTTATTGATAAAGCATATAAAAAACTGGGCTTTATTATACGCAATTCCAGAAACTTTGAGAGCATCAGCACACTAATCAAACTCTATAACGCCCTAGTGAGGCCACACCTCGAATATGCAGCAATAATATGGTCACCCATGGCTTATTGTCACAAGGAACGTATAGAACGTATTCAAAAAAAATTTCTACGCTTTATATATGTTAAAGAAAACAATATTTACCCCTACCACGTTTCTTATCAAAGCATGCTGGACTCGTATGAATTTCAAAAACTCTGTGATAGAAGGAAACAACAATCTGTGATATTTATATACTATATAATTAACAATATTAAATAGGTACCACAAATGTGCATCGATCAATTCTATAAAACTAGTTGTTCCAAAAATTAAGCTAAGACCTAAATGGGACAAATTATTTAGTATTAAGTACCCATTAGATAATCCTCTAAGCCAAATGCTGTTGCTCTGTAATGAGCTCTACAAGGATACGGGTGTTGACTTCTTCAACACAAATGTGAAAGCATTGAAGACACTAACAATGTAACTTTAGTAAATTTTTGTAATTTTTGACTATCATCTCTGTACATTTTTATATTGTGATGCCATTTGTAAGTGTGAATTTCTTTCATTTCTTAGTAACTTTTTTAATACTAATGCTAGTTTTAAGGTACTTTTGTAATGTCTTGCACTTTAATTACTCTACAGTGTTTTGTGAGACTTTAAATTAAATAAATAAATAAATAAATGAATATGAATCCCAGAAAAGACATAACATTTTAACACGTTGACTGCTGGGCTCAAATTCACACTAGTGGTACCAGAGCCGAAGCAAAATTCAAAAATTTGTCCCAGAAACCATCAGTGACTCTATATGTAGCTAAAGTCTACAGAAGATAGTACATCGTTGAAATTTTTGATAATTGGAACCCTGGACCCAAAAAACTCAAAAATTTCAGCCCGGTCTTATGGACCAACTCGGCACTCGTGTATATATATACAGTGTGACCCATTTATGATGGAAGCACTCTTATAAAACTTACATTTATCAAACGATTGGAATGCTTTTTTTTTGTTAGGTAGATATTCAAAAAGTCTATTAGGACACCAAATACCATGAATAAATCTCCATTTCCAGGGCCAACTAATCTGATTTTTCAAGGTCAAAAATCTAAAAAAATTACTAGCGATTTTTTTAGAAAAAATCTGAGTACACCACTGGATTTGTGACATTTTCAAATGGGTAACATGTAAATTACGTTGAAATGCGTCAATCAATAAAAAAGTTATAAAGGAATGAAATTTGAATAATATGCCGTTTAATCAACCCACCAATTCATGTTAAGGAATTTTAAGAAAATTCTGTATACTCTACTGGATTCAGGATGTCTTGAAATATTACTGATCACAGTTTCATCGAAATCTGTTCAGTAATAAAAATTGATGGGTTGATTAAACGGCATATTTTTCAAATTTCATTCCTTTATAACTGTTTTATTGATTGACGCATTTCAACGTAATTTACATGTTACCCATTTGAAAATGTCACAAATCCAGTGGTGTAGTCAGATTTTTTCTAAAAAAATCGCTAGTAATTTTTTTAGATTTTTGACCTTGAAAAATCAGATTAGTTGGCCCTGGAAATGGAGATTTATTCATGATATTTGGTGTCCTAATAGACTTTTTGAATATCTACCAAACAAAAAAAAATCATTCCAATCGGTTGAAAAATGTGAGTTTTATAAGGGTGCTTCCATCTTAAATGGGTCACACTGTATATGTATACCTTTGTACGCTGCGTCGGTCCGATAGCTCGGTCCGGCCGACTTCGGCCTCAGTCTAGTGGTCTAGCAATCTGTGATATTTTTTTAGTTTAGAAAATGACCAGATTTCGAGATACTAAGAATTCTCTGAGTCAGAGTACGGTATAAGTACAAGGCATTTCCATAGTGTTTCCCAATGTATTCAAACTCCTTAATCATTGTAGCATTCCTGATGATGGAAATAAACATATCCTAAAGCTTGAAGAAACTTTAAAGAGTATTCCTCTTACACTGCTGCTACCCCCAACATACACAGGTTTTATATATAGATATATATATATGAGGAATTCAGCCTTGTTTGGCACCATCAAGGACTGCTCCACAAACTACTATCATTCGGCTAACCACCTCAGCTATGCCATCTTTTATCGAGTTTCCTTTCAGGCAGATAGCCCCATGTGGTGGTGGACGTAGTATCGTCTGATTCCAGTGCCATCAATAATTCCGGTATTCCACAAGGATCAATTTTGGCACCAACATTGTTCCTACTTCATATCAAGGTTCTATTGGGAGCAACTACTTGCTCTATCCACAAATTTGCGGACAATTGTACTCTCTATACAGCGATCTCTTCTAGAATTCCCATTCATTCCTAGGAAACTAAGAACTCACGGCGAAGGCAGGCCAACGCTGTCAATGAAGGTCTTGCGGAAATTACAGCCTAGGAAACCAACAACCTAGTTGAATTCAACGCCACCCAAAACTCAAGCCTGGATTTTCTCTCCTGATATAACAATGTCTAGTACCACCATTTCCACCAAGACGATCCAAGATCCGTCGCAAAAGCTACTTCACAAAAACTCGGATTCTTGTTCCCTGTGAAAATCTATTTTACACCTCGTCAGCTTCTCATGATCCAGAAAGCACAGATACGGCCAGTTTTAGAATACTGTTCTAATGTATGAGGTTCAAAACCCAAACATACGCTGATGCTCTCAGATTCCATCCAGGGAAAAGCCATTCGCCCATTGATCCCATTAGAACAGCGTAAAAAAATCGGCCACCTTTCACTTTTTCATAGATACTTCCACGGGAATGTTCCTCAGAAATCTCTACTAGCAATACCAGTCAGACGAACTCGACAGGTCCAGTCAGCACATCCTTGAAAAACACTCTACCAAAACTCGTTCGTCTATAGAACGGAAAAGCTTTGGAATTCTTTGCCTATGGAAGTATTTCCAAGAACTTATAACCTACAAAGGCTCAAAATATATTTCAACACCTACCTCGTCTCCCTATCCTCCCTACAATGTTTCACGAACCTTATAGGAATTTTCTTTCGTGCGCTCTCCAAGAAATAAAAAAAGTACCGATAATGTTGATATACTCATCAGCAAAAAAACTGCAAAAATCCAGATTTGCATTATCACGAATTCAAGTCCTCAGAAGAGATGTACAGGGTGGGCAAAATTGGGCGTTTTCACCGTCTATCTCAATAACTAGAGGAGTTATCGAAGAACCGATATACATGTTCCGGGTTCGATTTCTGAGAAACCTCGAATGGCACAATCAAAATTTCGATATCTTCATTCGTTTTAGAGATACAGGGGGAAATTGAAAATTTGCCGATTTCGATTTTATTTTCTGACTACTTTACGGTGAGAGGTATCAAAAAATTTCAAACGTTTATTTATACAGTATGATGCGTGGAATCCATTGGCATCATCAGAAATTTTATACAGGGTGACGTTGAAAAGATACGGCAGCCAATTATGTTTTTTCTAATGGAACACCCCGTATATTTTGGCACAGTTGAATAGTCCCAGGCGTTCTCATTACAAATATATATATAACCCTACCTTTTCCTTCCACAATTTCAGATATATTCGCAAAAATATATTCAGTGTGTCACATTTCTTATGGTTACACCCCTGTATCTCCTGTAAAAATAATAGGTAGGATTCAAAAATTCGCAACTGTCAGAAAGATACAAATTAATGATACACTCATGGAGTCATGGACCAAGTGGGATCATCTCCAATGATAACACTGCTCGCCAGCAGCTATGGAATCATCGATATTTCTGGATAATGCTATCAACAGGCAGAATCGAGGTTGAAAATGACACTCTGTATATATTCAACAAATGTGGAAAATAAATATCATGAGGAATGTTATTTCCAGACAAATGGATATTTGGTGAGAAATAAAATGGGAAATTATTCGATTTGATATCATTGTTATCAAGACATTTGAGATACAGAAATAAGACCAATAATTTACTCAATTAGAAAATCAGTAGGTTGCGTTGAAAAATATAGCCTTATAGAAGATGTCCAAATTCCAGATACCGAACAATTTTTTTCATGGAACACCCCGTATATTTTGGCAGAGCTGGAAAGTTCCCGTTTCAATTTCAAATATATATCTTATTTATTATCTCTTTGAACGCAAAAATATTAAGGCATACTAGAAATAATGGGTAAAGTATCATATTCAGGCATTCTGCCAGACAGTTGCGAATTTTTTAATCCTACCTCAATTATTTTTACAGAAGAAACGGGGGTGTAACCATAAGAAATGTGACACACTGAATATATTTTTGCGAATATATCTGAAATTGTTGAAGGAAAAGGTAGGGTTATATATATATTTGTAATGAGAACGCCTGGGACTATTCAACTGTGCCAAAATATACGGGGTGTTCCATTAGAAAAAAACATAATTGGCTGCCGTATCTTCTCAACGTCACCCTGTATAAAATTTCTGATGATGCCAATGGATTCCACGCATCATACTGTATAAATATACGTTTGAAATTTTTTGATACCTCCCACCGTAAAGTAGTCAGAAAATAAAATCGAAATCGGCAAATTTTCAATTTCCCCCTGTATCTCTGAAACGAATGAAGATATCGAAATTTTGATTGTGTCATTCGAGGTTTCTCCAAAATCGAACCCGGAACATGTATATCGGTTTTTCGATAACTCCTCTAGTTATTGAGATAGACGGTGAAAACGCCCAATTTTGCCCACCCTGTACATACATGGACATTATTTTTGGATCAACATGATTTCTCTTTGCA